ATTCTAGTTTCTTTAAAATAGCCAACCTTTGCTCTTGATGACAGAAGTACTTAGTGACTCTGTCAGTCACGAAGTAACCCTAACAAGGCACACCTGTGAAGTAAAAACCATTGCAGGTGACTACCTCATGAAGCTTACTGAGAGAACAGCAAAAGTTTGCAGCGCTATCAAAAAAGCAAAGGGTGATTACTTTGAGGAATCTAAAATATAATACATGTTTTCAGTTATTTCACACTTTTTTCTTAAGCACGTGATTCCACATGTGTTCATTCATAGTTTTGATGCCTTCACTGAGAATCTACAATTTAAATACTAATGAGAATAAAGAAAATGCATTGAATAAGAAGGTGTGTCCAAACTAAACAAAATTTGTTTTAAAATCATCAACATAAAATAAAAACCCTGCAATGTTTACCTCACCCAACTAACAATATCAGATCAGATTATTTTCCGCTCCACATTTAAAACTTCTAATGGTCTTAGGCATGTTGAAAACCGTGTTATTTATGGCAATTAACAATAAATGAAAACCTCGCCAGAGTTTTCCTCAGCTTACATTTTACTTCATCACACACAGGCAGCTGCAGCTCCCCTCCACAGAGTGCGGCATTTTGCTGCTTTGCTCTGCTATTCCTCTGAAATAATTCAGAGGAACACATATATATATATATATATATATACATATATACGAACACATGTGTGTGTGTGTATATATATATATATATATATGTGTGTGTGTGTGTGTGTGTATATGTGTATATATATATATATATATATATATATGTGTGTGTGTGTGTGTATATATATATATATGTACAAACAATATTTGAGTGTGCATAGTCACAGACTTGTACCCTGTCTCCCTCAAGTGGTGTGATGGAGAACTCAGAAACTCAGAGCATAGCTCTCGTAATAGAGAAACTACAAAAAAGGTTTATTCTTCATTGCACAGGTGTAATGCATTACTGTCATGATGGCTTCCTAATATTTATGGGATATTGATATTACTAGGCATTAGGGTTAATTCATTATTATCATCTGTGTATGTTGGGATTAAGAAATGGTTAAATGTCTGAAGTGAGTATGGTAAACCTGAATAAACCGACTACTTTTTATCCACAATGGCCTGAAACCTCTGGAAAGAAAATTTTTGCTGAAATCCTGGAGCAGACAGCTTGAGAAAGATAGCAGCTAAGTCTTACAAATAAGCAATAATATTAATACTACTACTACTTCAAATAATAATAATAATAATAATAATAATTATTATTATTATTATTATTATTATTATTATTATTATTATTATTATTATCATTATTATTATTACTTTTTTTGCTGCAATATTTTTCATAAATGCATGACAGTTTTTACTTAAACTTCTGATTAAATCATTGAACTTTTTTTGCGAGTTGGCAGGTGATTTACACTTTTCACTTTCTAAAACCACTTTTTTAAAGCATGTAAAATAGATGATGATGAATCTGTAGCTTTTGTGCATGATGAAGTAACCAAAGGTGGATTGATGTTTAGAGGATATTTAAAAAAGATCGTTTAAATGAGAAAATAATAGCTATAGGGTTACAGACTAAGTGTATAAATGAGGTTTTTCCTATCTTTAGGTCAGAGAAACTATCTTTTTAATTGGACAATACCCTAACTTTAATAATATATAGAACTCAAATTTTGCAAGATGGAAAACTGCAACAAGAGCAGAGGTTTATGTTATTTCACTGTCACTCATCAACAATGACAAGATCCAGCTGTAAAAGCAGTAATTATTCAAATAAGTCATGTTTAAATACATTTTGCCTAGTTAGTAGAAGAAACAATCTTAACTACTCAACAATAGTTAATTATACCATTATGCAACAATTATACAAGCATTGATGTTATCTGCACATTGTATTAAGTGTGCTGTCTACACTTGGAACAATGCTCGATGGTGCTGTAAGGGTTGTCCTTTGACCAACTATTTCCCTGACATTGCTCTCTGCGAGCAGTTAAGTCTCAGCTAGGGGACAACTGCATGAAAATTAGATTTCCATAAATAGATCATCCAAAGTATGATTACAGCATCAAGTTAACAGACCACTTTGAATTAAGGTACTTCTGTGCAACGAGGATGGTTTCAGTGGTGGAAAAGTAGTCTCCATGACCACCACTCACACAACCCCATTGGAAATTTACTTGGATAAGATTGTTTATTAATATATGATTCAGGCCAAACCTGATGTCCTTTCCCCACCTCCTTCATTATGAGACAACACCAGACCCAAATGCAAATCTTCACAGTATTATCAATCTGTATTGAGTTTTAGAGCCCCTCAAGGTATAGGTGTCATGTCCAATGCAAGTGGAGAGCCTGAGTTGTAATGAATTATAATTAATCAATTAAAAACTTAAGGGGATTTTTTTCTGTCGTAAATTTAAGTTAGGGTCAAACACACCATAACACTGATATAGACAGCCCCTTGAGAGATGAATGTTGCCAACTGCTTGCTTCTCTAGTTATACCAACTTTGGTAACAATCGCACAATAGCAATACACAGTGGTCTATGTCGCAAACCTCAACCAAAAAGCCACTCTATAGCCACAAATAATGCTCAGAACAGCACCTAACTTCATCAATAGTACATATAAGGTCCCAGCCATAGTACTAGCCACCAAACATTTCTTTAGCTTTGCCTGATTTTTTTTAGAAAAGAGACTAAACACAACTCACCCACTCTCCTTCCAGCAGCTGCTTGTTTGTAGGGGAGCCCTGACGAGTTGATCACCGAGTGCAGCAGAGTTTCGCAGCTCAAGGAAGAACATTTATGATTATTACTTCATGGAAATGCAATCAGAGTTCTTGTGTATCTTGTATGTGCACTACAGATGCAGTAGTTCTTCTGCCATCGTGTCTCGCTCTGGTTGCATTTCCATTAAGTAATAATCATAAAATAATAATAATAATAATCATAAATAATCATAAATTTTCCACTACACTCTGTGATTGACTCGTCAAGGCTCCCCCACAAACAAGCAACTGCTGGAGGAGAGTGGGTGAGTTGCGTTTGGTCTCTTTGCTCATTTTTGTGAGAGGGTACTTAAATGCATCAACAAGAAACCACAGTACAAACAGGACAAACTGTGACCTGAAGCTGACTCAGAGCTAACTAAACATTGCTAACTTACCTGACTTGGCCGAGGAGTGCATGTTGAGACCGCAAACTGAATCAAGAATGGTCATCTGCCTCCTCGCTCTGTGAAGCCTCCGCAAGAACAGCACCCCCTGGTGACCGGCTGCAGTATAGGTCATAAACCCTGCCTCCTCCAGCAATCCCTATGGAGCTGTGGACAAACTTTAGAAATTAAATACGTGTCAAGTAAATTTCTTTAACTCCTGGTTGCGATGTTGACATACGTAGTTATTGTAGGACTGGTTTGTGCTCAAGACCTCTTTTTTCTGTGCAGCTCCGTTTTTAAAGTTATTAGGATAAGGTGACCATATTTTGATTACCAAAAACCAAAACACTCAGCCTGGCAATGACATACTGAAATGATGCTCAGAGTTTACTCAAAGATGTCATATAATTTCAATTCATTTAAAGTATGCATTTAAAATGGTTATATTACCAAATACTATCTATAACCAAAGACACAAATTCGAATAGGCTTCTCAGAGGTTACACATGTTTTATTTAAGAATGATGAAATAATGACAGAAATTATGTCTCCTCTGTATTAGAAAAATAACTAAGTAATAAATAACAAAACATACCTCTGCTCTATCAGCAATCCAATTTAAACAAAAATAGCTCTCACAAACTTATAAACACCAACCAACAAAGAATATCTGTATCTTTGGTTTTCTTCTTCATCCTAGTGACCATAGACTGTATATAGAATGGATGCCGTCTGCTTCCTCGCTGGGTGAAGCCACTCCGAGAACAGCACCCTCTGTTGATGGGCTGCAGTATAGGTCATAAATCTCACCTCCACCAGCAAAGCTTATGGGGCTGTGGACCAACTTTAGAAATTTATTACACAGAACATACATTTTTGAACCAGATTGGTTTGTGCTCAAGTCCTCTTTTTTTCTGTGAAGCTCCGTTTTTAAAAGACACCTGGTACAGCCTATGGGCGTTCAGGGATTGAGTAGCTCTCCCGGGGGATACGCTGTTTGAGCCGAGCGTCATCACAGGGACTCTCTGCGACTGCGCGGCCGAATGCGCGCAACGCTACTGCACAGCTCTGGTTTCAGGAAATGAAGAAAAATCCCGGAAATACCAAAAGCTTTTTGGCTTCAAATCCATATACAGGCAGTAGGCGGAACCAAGTTGTCAATAGTATATACAGTCTATGCTAGTGACCCAGTTTAGAGGCCCAGTAAAAAACTATGAAAACCAGGATATTTTCATCACCTTATTAAAAAACACACAAGAAAAGGATGTGATAACATGACATGTCTGGGGAAAACAGGACATTTGGTCATCCTATATCAGGGGTTATAAAAACTTCATATTTTCTATGACTAACACTTAAATAGTCAATGGGTGTAAGAAGGTTGTGTAGGACATCTGGGGGGTACGCTGTTTGAGCAAAGTGTCATCACAGTGACAATGCAATGGATGGTTTCAGTAAATGGAGAAAAATCCCTGTATTACCAGGAACATTTTGGCTTCAAATTCACAATGACGGGAGGAGGAGTTATGTTGTCCATAATAGCCTATATACGGTCTATGGTTGAGACTGATTTAATTTTTTTAATTCAATGAGTAATTAAAGATCATTTCTTGATATACAGTTGGTGATTGATTTTTTTGAGTCGAGAGACGTTTGTGAAGTTAAATGATCAACTGAGATCATGCTTGCCAATTCAACTTGTATTTCAAAAATCAAATGCCAAAAAAAGAGGAAGCCTAAAAAATTGATTCATATTAATTGTTGTTTTAGCTTAAAGATGCAAGGCCAAGTGGTCAGATTGTACAGCTGTACAATACCATCTTGTTATCCTGGGCTGAAAGAGCCATTGACTATCTATGTAGCATTCTGACTGCTTTATTCAAGATATTTTTTGGCCAAGATATAAGCCAAAAAAGTGCTGTGGTAGACTTACTTCACCTACGAAGCAAGCACAAGAGTTCCAGCAGAATCAAATGTTATATTTCAGTCCTACTTTTTTATTGGTTTCCATTAAACAGTGCCATTAAGTTTCACTAAGCAGGTTATTTAGAAAACTTAAGCAAAACAAAAGTATGGTCTCTAAAAGTTGCATGCTGAGTAAACACACAGATTTTAATAAAATGACTTTATTGACACATCAAATATCATCACTTTCTTGGTGTTGTTTAAAATGAAGGCTTTCTTATTTATGCAGAATTTAAAAAGGGGACATACACTCACCGGCCACTTTATTAGGTACACCATGCTAGTAACGGGTTGGACCCCCTTTTGCCTTCAGAACTGCCTCAATTCTTCGTGGCATAGATTCAACAAGGTGCTGGAAGCATTCCTCAGAGAGCTTGGTCCATATTGACATGATGGCATCACACAGTTGCCGCAAATTTGTCAGCTGCACATCCATGATGCGAATCTCCCGTTCCACCACATCCCAAAGATGCTCTATTGGATTGAGATCTGGTGACTGTGGAGGCCATTTGAGTACAGTGAACTCATTGTCATGTTCAAGAAACCAGTCTGAGATGATTCCAGCTTTATGACATGGCGTAGTATCCTGCTGAAAGTAGCCATCAGAAGTTGGGTACATTGTGCTGATAAAGGGATGGACATGGTCAGCAACAATACTCAGGTAGGCTGTGGCATTGCAACGATGCTCAATTGGTACCAAGGGGCCCAAAGAGTGCCAAGAAAATATTCCCCACACCATGACACCACCACCACCAGCCTGAACCGTTGATACAAGGCAGGATGGATCCATGCTTTCATGTTGTTGACGCCAAATTCTGACCCTACCATCCGAATGTCGCAGCAGAAATCGAGACTCATCAGACCAGGCAACGTTTTTCCAATCTTCTATTGTCCAATTTCGATGAGCTTGTGCAAATTGTAGCCTCAGTTTCCTGTTCTTAGCTGAAAGGAGTGGCACCCGGCGTGGTCTTCTGCTGCTGTAGCCCATCTGCCTCAAAGTTCGACGTACTGTGCGTTCAGAGATGCTCTTCTGCCTACCTTGGTTGTAACGGGTGGTTATTTGAGTCACTGTTGCCTTTCTATCAGCTCGAACCAGTCTGGCCATTCTCCTCTGACCTCTGGCATCAACAAGGCATTTCCGCCCACAGAACTGCCGCTCACTGGATATTTTTTCTTTTTCGGACCATTCTCTGTAAACCCTAGAGATGGTTGTGCGTGAAAATCCCAGTAGATCAGCAGTTTCTGAAATACTCAGACCAGCCCTTCTGGCACCAACAACCATGCCACGTTCAAAGTCACTCAAATCACCTTTCTTCCCCATACTGATGCTCGGTTTGAACTGCAGGAGATTGTCTTGACCATGTCTACATGCCTAAATGCACTAAGTTGCCTCCATGTGATTGGCTGATTAGAAATTAAGTGTTAACGAGCAGTTGGACAGGTGTACCTAATAAAGTGGCCGGTGAGTGTACAACTCTCACTGGTTAAGTCCATCCCACATATTTAAAACTAAAAAAAAACTTCTAAAACTCTTAGTTAGAGCAACTGAACCCAGAACTAGTGTAAGGGATACACAGATTTACTGTAAACTAATGCTATTTCAAAGTTCAGCAACTCAAACCTTTTCTACAAACAGAATAAAATAATTAGCACATTCCTTTTCACCTGTATCTATTTAAATACACTACAATGACAGGATATTTAATTTGCGCTGGGCTGCGAAGCTCACCAAAATGTGCTTGGGCACTCCTTGTCGGCGCAGCGGACCTGACTTACGCCACGCCTACGCCACCCTGCCAGCGAGGCATGAAAATAGAGTCCGCAGTGTCTTACTGAGTGTTGTCCAATGGAAAGGTGATGTAACACTGAGACAAACATGACTCTGTCCCAGAATTTTAGGAACAAGGTATAGACGTCAAATTCAGCACATGTAAATATTTGCAAAAAGATTCTCAATATAATACCTTGTCTTTGTGGTGTGATGAACTGAATTTAGAGAGAAAATGACCTGCAAGTCACATTACTCTGTTTTTGTTTACAGTTTCTACAATATTCAAACCACTGGATTTGGGGTTTGTATAAACAGAAAAATAGCAGATTCATATGAATTGAGAGGAGTTATTATTCTATTTATTCAATTTCCGACCATTTTGAATTAATGCATCTGCAATGCAGCCCACATCAAGCCTCCATGGAAAAACATACTTCAAAATAATTCATCTCTTTCATTCTTCTCAGCAGTAACAGAAATGGCTGTTGCTGACATCAACTAGATTGTAGAAAAGAGTATTTTCTCACTATTCTTATGATCGAAACCCCATACATTGAATACAGAATGATTGATTTCAGCCCTGATGACTACAAGATTCTGCAGCTTATTTTACAGTGAAATATTTAACTACAATAGTTTCACTTATCCACATTAATGGTTGGTGTACAGTTTTGCTGACAAATACTGTTCCTCCACATTACCAGTCATTTATCCTTCCTCCTGACATTTTGTAGCTGTGTCACTGGGATCCATTAAATCTTGCTCCAGTTTTTCAAGATTTCCTCTGCCGCATCAAGAGTACTATCTTGCTGTGAAGAGAAAGACAACTGAATGTTATTAAAAGTTTGCAAAATTGCCACTCTGCCTACATTTGTCCTTTTAAATGTATACTAAATGTGTTGTGTTTTTGTTTGTAGCAAGTGGTTTTGTACTTACCTTAATGAAACAGAGGCGAATATATTTTTCAAATTGCTTCTTGGACTCATCTCCAACAAATGCAGTGACTGGAATGGCTGCTAGTTTCTAATATAGATGACATTACAATCAAGACCAGCAATAAAGACAAATAAAAACAGCGGGAACAAGCACAGCACAGCTACACAATAATTATCTTATATCTTAGGGAATAAACACTCACTGAAGTCCATTACGTTACCTTTTCTTTAATCATCCACTTCACAAACTTGTAGTCATAAGCATCATCATCATCCATATGTGACAGGTCCTGATCTACAGAACACAGAGCAGAGATGGTTATTCACTCGAGGTGCAGGGATTCAGCACAACCTGTCACTGCTAATCCAGCCACAAGGCAACACAACAGTCATTAATATTAACAAGTAGTGAAGCAAAGTACGACAGCAGTAATCCTATTCAAAGACTGGGTTTGTGTGTGAGTATTTCATGTTTCCTCTCACATTACAAGGGCTCCCTTATAAAACTTGATAGAGAAATATGTTTAAGGGGCAGTTGTTATTCCCATGGTAAAACTAGAGAGTAACATTTTAAAATGTTTAAGGGATATTCTGGCGTAAATTTAAGTTATGGTCAAACACACCGTAACACTGAGTTAGACACCCCCTCGAGAGATGAATGTTGTCAACCGCTTAGTTTTGGTTGAGGTTTGCTCCACACACAAACCTCAACCAAAAAGCCACTCGATAGCCACAAATAATGCTCAGAGCAGCACCTAACTTCATCAACAGTACATATAGGGTGGCTGGGCTTTGCCTAATTTCTTTAGCAAAGAGACCAAACACAACTCACCCACTCTCCTCCAGCAGCCGCTGGTTTGTGGGGGGGAACCCTGACAAGTTGATCACCGAGTGCAGTGGATCATTTACTTGAAGTAATTATCAACATAATAATCATTTTGCACTGCAGACGCATTAGTTCTTCTGCCTTAGCGTCTCGGTTTGATTGCATTTCTATGAAGTAATAATCATAAATGTTCTTCCTTGAGCTGCGAAACTCTGCTGCACTTGGTGATCGACTCGTCGGGGCTCCTCCACAAACAAGCAGCTGCTGGAGGAGAGTGGGTGAGCTGTGTTTGGTCTCTTTTCTAAGGAAATTAGGCAAAGTTAAAAAGATGTTTGATGGCTAGTACTATGGCTGGGACCCTATATATACTGTTAATGAAGTTAGGTGCTGTTCTGAGCATTATTTGTGGCTACAGAGTGGCTTTTTGGTTAAGGTGTGCGCATGGAGACTTGGAATGCTGTGAATTGCTATCGTGCGGTCGCTACTGCAGTTGGTATAACTAGAGAAGCAAGCAGTCGGCAACATTCATCTCTCTCGGGGGTGTCCAGCTCATAGCACTGAACACATGGAAAATTTTAAAAACTCCAAAACTAGAGCTGATGAATGTAAGTGTGGTTCTACTGGCCAATTACATGTACACATACAAGGAAAATGACTCCAGTGGATTTTATTCCCTATGTACAAAGTTTAAACATGAAATATTACACAAATATGTACACTTTTACATTAGACATGACCAGAAATGTTAGTTTAAATGTTCAGTAACTCACTGAGTGATGTCACATCCACCAGCATGAAGTATCCTCCCTCAGGAATCACAGGGGTCATTCCAGCTTCTTGCAGGATAGCAGCCATGCGGTCCCTCTTACCCTCCAGCTCCTCTGCCAGTGAGGAGAAGTAACATTCAGGCTGATCGATCATCTTAAGGTTCAGGAGTAAACCTTGAGCCACAGCCTCCTGAAAATAAACACAAGGAGATTCAGACTGAAACAGGTTTGAAAGGTTTCATGCTTTATTTGATGGATTTCGAGGAACACATAAGAGTTGCAGGAGCTTGCCTGTAGAGGTGTTGGGCAGGTGTACAGAGTATTCTGCATGACGGTCTGAAGATGCTTTATCAGGTGCTCTGGCCCTACAGACCAACCAAGCTAAAAGACAAAAATGACCAATGAATGATGTGCAAGAGTAAAATACTTATCATTCAAGAGTGTGATCTAAATAATCAGACTTCTTACTTTCCATCCAGTAACGCTGAATGTTTTCCCTGCACTGCCGATAGTGATCGTTCTATCCCACATCCCGGGAAGAGTGGCTGAAGGGTCATTGACATTTGGGGTTGAAAGAGTCAAGACAGATCATCATATTTATACACTACAGGCCAAAAGTTTGGAAGCAAGATCAGATTTGTACAAAAAAAGATCATAGTTTCATATATATAATTTGCAACACAATAAACATGACTATTGTGTAAAGAGTAACTTATCAAAGACATTTTGACTATAATTATTAGGTATTTGAGTTATTGTTGCTGGGACTTTGCTTTCTTTAAAGTAACCTCCTCTGGCTTTAACAACAGCTTGGCATATACCAGGCATTCATTCCACAAGTTTTTTAAGGTATGTTCCAGGGATTGTATTCCAAGCTTCATTAAAAAGAGGCTGCTGATTCGTGGGACGTGTTTTTTCTGTCTGGAGACTGAGAGGGCCAAACCATCTTTTGAAGAACATCTTCCTCTTCCTTTTTGTCTAGGTAACCTCGACAGAGCTTGGCAGAATACTTAGGGTCATTGTCTTGCTGAAAAACAAACTTATGACCCGCAAGTCTGAGTCCAGATGGAACAGCATGGTGCTGGAGGATGGAGTGGTACTGTTCCTACTTCATGATACCCTTTACTTCAAACAAATCTTCTACTCCATCACCTGCAAATCATCCCCATATCATGGAACTACCACCTCCATGCTGAATTGTGGGTGTAACACATGGTGCTTTCAGACGTTTACCAGTTTGTCTGCGGACATAGACTCTGCATTTTGAACCAAACAGTTCAAACTTGTTTCTAGTCATCTTAAGTCCAATTTTTGTGAGCTTTTGCCCACTCATATCTCCTTTTCTTGTTCCGTGGACGAAGTAGTGTTTTTTTGCAGATACACAACCCTTCAGACCAGCCTTTCTCAAACGTCATTTCACGGTTATTAGAGATATGGGTTTCGACCTTATCATGTTGATTTCCTCCCTTATTTGTGGTGCTGTCTTTCGCCGATCTCTCTTACTGGTGACAATGCTATGTTTATCCTCTGCTTTTGTAGTAACTCTCTTTCGTCCAGGTCTTTTTCTATCATCATAACTTCCAGGTCCTCTAGTCTCTACAGAGTGTAGTGGACTCCTTTGTTAAACACCTTTAGGCGTTTTGCAATTTTCTCTTTCTGTGTATCCTTCTTTCCTCAATGTACAAATCTGTACTTTTGTTTCTTTACTTAGTTGCTTCTTTCTAGCCATTTTTGTGGTAGTTTGATGCAGTTGAGATTTATTAGGATTTTTGTATGCAGACTCCCAAAAGCCAAAAAGTTGAAGTAAATAATCCAACTGTGATTTGTTTTTTTGCTTTTGCACTGAAGTTGTGACTCTTGCAAATGTTTTCAACCCTAAAACTAAGCCCTTATTATCTTTTGCTGACATATATTTAGCAATGGTGTGTTCACATTAATGTATATCTAAAGGTAAATGGAATAAAATGGTACATTTCCATGAAAGCAACATCTGATCATGGAGTAAATACATCCCAAAATACATGCTGGATTTAAAAAAAAAGGCATTGTGAACAAAAACTTGTGACTCCCAACTGTTCAGCCTGTAATGGCCTTGCTTCCAAACTTTTGGCCTGTAGTGTACATCTACATAATACAGAGACAGCATACATCATTTATTCATAATTATGCTACTTTTGGAAATGTCTTCACTGTAGGTCATTGAGGATGAGGTTTGAGCTAATACTTGGTTTTAAACATTAACCTTTTTCTTACGTACCAAACTATTTACCATCACGTTATTATTATTTTTTTTTGTGGTTGTTTTACATTTTAAAAAAGTACAAATTTCAATCATGTACAATGCTTTCAAGTATAGTTTCTTGAGATTGCAGCCTGTCATCTGTCTATTCTCTCTTTTGATTATTGCCATTTCAGTAACTTTACAAAATGCAAACACCTCCTGTTCATGATGCCTTCTGATTATAACTAGCATTAATCTGATGAAGAATATACACCCAAGCCTTGAAAAGAAGTATATGATTGCAAGTCAGACAGTGTGCAGAGGTGGTATTTTCAACTTCAGACCGCAACACACGGCTAACGCACTTTTTACGTCCAAGAAAGCAGCAATTTCACTTAAATGAACTGCAGTTATTGTTATTGTCTTGCTACTGAATAAGCTTACAGGTTTGCTAAGTTGCAGTTAAGAGGCGCTACCTGCTACCTTACAGTTAACATCTAAACGGGCCATGTTAACAGCAGATCCGCACATTACCAGCTTGTAAGAAGAAGCTTGCCAAATAGCCATGCAGTTTACATGGACATCTGCAGTATCTACATTTTGCTGTGACTCTTACTAATGTAGTGGAGCCTAAATCATGTGTTGTAGTATGTTTTAGGGTTTTCAGTCCCTGGATCTGTAAAGCTGAGGGGATGTAAAGAGCAGGCAGCTCACATCAAGACATAATGTCTAATTTCCTCTTGATACTCTTCCACTGAACAAGACCAGTAGGCTGAACTTACCAATCTTGATGTGCTGGTGTCCTCTGTAGACGAGCCATTCATAAACCTCATCACTGAAACACAGAGTGTCGTGTTTGATACAGAGGTCAGCGATCATCTGCAGCTCCTCTCTGGTGAAAACCTGTAGACAGAGGACAGAATCCACTGAAAGCACTTGTGTTTCTATCATGGAAATGAGCATGTGGGTATCAATAAACTGTAAGTCTGGGGCACACTTGCCTTCCCTATAGGATTGTTTGGAGTGTTGATAATAATGGCTTTTGTTCTAGAGTTGAATTTACTGGAAAGCTCATCAGGGTCTAGATACCAGTCAGCACTTGTGATTGTCTGCTTCTTTCCAGGCTTCTGAAATATTAAAGATGACAAGTTACTGCAGGTCAAGTAAGCCCCCTGTTTACTAAATATGAAAGGATAAGAAGCATAAGGTTCAACTTACAAGGCGTAATGGTATCAACACAGGCTTGGCCCCAGCCATTCGCACCATTGGTACATAGCAATCAAAGAAAGGCTCAATTATGATGACCTGGACAAGAAAAATTACAAATTCAATCACACTGAGCTTACGTCCAAAACATCTGCAGAGAGAGAGAGGAAAATATTCCCACCTCATCTCCCTCTTCCACCAGTGCTTGCATGGTACTGAATAAGGAACCATAACCTCCCACTGTGACCAAGATTTCTTTAAAGGGGTCGATCTGGCGCTCACAGACCTTTCCATAAACCTGAGAAAGGGCCTTTACCAAAGATGGATGACCCTTCAAAATAAAAAGAAGACATCTCATAAAATAGATCAAATTATGTAGCTGATTTCTGTGTAATAGTTAAGCAAATATTGCATATCACTGTTTTGGATCAGAGGACTTAAAAAAAAAAAAAAGCAACGTTTATAAATAGTTTAAACTGGTAATTCAGCAGGTACATGTCCAAATTTCTGATCAAATTGGGAACTTTTAAAATACAAACTTATTGTAACATTTGCAGCACAGGGCTGAAGCATTTTTTACTAGAACTATTAATTTAGTTTTAAACTTGCTTTCACAATGGTTCTATGTCAGAGATGATCTATTATCTATAAAAAAATTAATTAATTAATGTTATCTCTAAATAACTGATGCTAGATGTTATTGATGTATCTCATTTCTGATTTCTGATACAAGTTCTGTTTTTGTGATGTTTAAGTGTGTTTCAATAGTTTTATACTCTGATTATTGTGTGTAGTTTTATGTAATGGTTATTTTGTTATTGCATGCCAAACTTGATTTCATCATCTTAATGACAAGATGATAGGTGCATAAACTATTCCGTTTTTTATCAAAAATATTCCAAAATGTATGACCACCTCTGCGTACAGTGGAGGGTTTTATATTTCTTCCAGAGCCAGGAGTGAACTTGACCCCTTGACAAGGCTAACCCCAAGTCTTAAACTCTCACCTGCAATGTTGTGAGTATATTGTAAGTCAGTATATTATTGTTTGTAGTGTTAGAGTTTTTGTTTTTTTTTCAGGTCCCAAGATGATAGAGGTAAAATAACTTCCTATAGTTATAGAGTAACGTTAATTTGTGTGCTTTGTCCTTTGAAAAGAAAAAAAAAAAAGACAAACAAAAACCACTCAATAAAACAGCGTCTATGGAGTTTAAAACAGATTCCGTTCAATTCTGTTTCTCATCTCTTGGCAACATTTTTCCTATTGTACTAAGATTCTAAAAAAAAAAAAAACAAACATCTGGTTTTAAATACTTCCACTTTGTTGTAAACAACTATTTTTAGGAGCTTACAAAGCCTCTGGTGTACTGGTTCATCCTGTCCACAGATGCAGCCTTCGCTAGTGCTTCCTTGACATAAGAGGGTGGAGGAATGTCTGGGAAGCCTTGGCCCAGGTTAACAATGGATGGGTCTGCAGCAACTGAGGTGAATGCCACCCTGATTTGACAGCAAAATACATAATTAGTGGACTTCAAATCCACTTTTAGAGTCAGATATTGTATGTGCTTCCAAACACAACCATTAAAGAGTATTTTTAGCCCACAATTTTACTTACACATTTTATAGAAGACAGACACATGCTGTAAACTGTGGAATAGTTATTAACCACTTATATGGCTAAAAAAATCTCAGGACAAATGTATTTACACATATCAGAAATCTGTGGTTAATTTGTGGTTTAAGTTCATGAAAGTGTAAAATTTGATTAAATTTGAAGTCTTTTAACACACCTCTTCTCCTGCATTACAACAAAAACAGATTTGCCAATTATTCTTTTACATACCACACGTTCTTGTCCAGTCCTGCAATCCTTTTGGTGTGTGAGTGCCGTGACATCATGTACTAAAACATCGACACACAAACACACTTATAAACAATGCATTACATATAATCTTCCACTGTGTCTCAAGTACTCTACTTTTTGCTTTGTCAATCATTCACAAACTTTCCCCTGTGCAAAGAGTTGTACATTAACCTGTGAGAAAGTTTTTTGTTCCAGCTGTGACCCTTACCGGCGAGTTATTTCCAGGAATTTTTCAGCATGAATAGACCAACACTGCAACCTCAACTTTTAAGGTCACCTTAGTTAAACTTCTGGAAAAATACAGCAACTAAAAATGTTTAAATGTTTTCAATTTACACATTATGAGAGGCTGCATTCAGAGCTTTTCAAAGTGGACTTACTTGTGAAGTGCAGAGCCTTCTTCTGCAGTTTATGTTGGCTGGATAACATGCAAACTTGGTGCAATTCAGGACTAGTCTTGCTGTGTTCATGCTGCACAAAAAGTGAAAGAAATACGCTGTGAAAGTTAATTTGCGTTAACATAAACTTATATCATGTTATTATTGCTCTGCAGTCTGCAGATGGTTAGCCCTGTCACACTGGAAGTTGCAAATGACATGTTGGAACATGCACATCTCTGCATTTGCCTCAGGGTCAAAGTAAGTGATATTTCCTGTGTCTAGTCGGTAAAAACTATACATATTGTATAATTAGGAATAACAATACTCTGAGGATATGGTTCCTGCTTCTCAAAGATTTGCAGTGGCAAATTAGGGACATTTACATTCAGAAGAAATTAACTAAAGCTGAGAGTGAAAACATTTGTGCATCTGGTTGTGGTTTGACTGAATTCAACCTTCAATCAAAGTTTCACAGTGCTTCAACAGGGGGACAAAAGGTCACAATTGTGGACGATTTTGACGCTATGATTAAAAAGAAAGAAAAAAAAAAGGAATACCCCCCAAAAGTCATTTTAGGGCTTCTGAAAAAAGGGAATGGCTTTATTGAATTTTGCACACCAGATGGCGCCAGTTGCATGAATATAACTCAAGGCACAATTTCCTAGGAAAACAAAGCTGCAGCTGATTGACATGAAGCGCTAAGCAAGAACTGTGACGTTTTAAACCGCATAAAGACAAACACCAACGATATTATGTCAAATACTTTTTGCATTTAGTTATCTGCCCTCAGTAGGTGTCTACTTCTCCCTTGTGTCGTTAGAAGCATGGATATTGTCAATAAACCATGTGCAATTGAATCGCCACTATAGACAACACTGTGGTTAGCCACCATGGCAATAGTATGCTAGGTGTTGCTGTTAAATGAACTATGTGCCTTTAACTTTGTCTTTCTTTGAGTCTCAATGATAAAAACTGCTGCCAGCAGTCAGTATTTAGTAACACGTACCATGTACAGTTAGGAAATTAGTCCCCAGGGGGTCTGCAACTCAACTTACTTGTCCTCACCGTCAGTGAATTGACCCAGGAGGAGACGACGTCATAAACTGGAGACCACCATGCTGCATTTAGGGTCGTCGGGAATTATGTACGCTGACATCTAATGAGGAAATGGACAAGACATATCAACAAGGTCGATTGGGTAAATATTTGCTGCAATGCCAGGGCCGCAGGTGGAGATATGAAATGAAATATAGAATAAGATAAAGCAAGAGGACGATGATGGTAGAATTCCGTTTTGTAACTATGCTACTTGAACTGGTAAAACATGGAGGATATATTAAATTTTACATTTGGAGAGGTCAGTAGGGGAGAGTGGGGTAAGATGAGCCATTTTTCATATTTCGGATCACTGGATCAAGGCAATCGTAGTTTTGTCTCTAACTACTGAATCTGCATATGTATAAAGATGTTGTGCATCCCTGCAAACCAACAGAATGAGTGTAAACGTAGACAACTGATCAAGAGTAAATCAAGTGTAAATCAAGACAACTGTCTTGATAATATAGCATGCCAATAAAAGTTGTCTCCTATGGTCAACTTACCCCACGGGGGAAGTTGAGCCATATCCCTACCACCCTCCCACTCTCCACCCCAGCCCTCCCTCACCTTCTCTCTCCCTAAATAACAGTCACTTCTTCACATTCATGTGTATTTTTATCTATTATACGCTATTCAACTGGTAGGCCTACAATAATTTGTTTTTATTATTGTTGCATACAACAGCTGTTCTGTAAAAAAAAAATAAATAAAAAAAATAACATGAGAATGCCTTTAAGTGATTCAGAACATTCACAGCTGTATTTTTGAATAGAAAAAGTAACACATTTCAACAATCTGAACTGAAACTCTGATCCTCTCATCATACTCCTTTACCTTTTCAGTTGAGCTTCTAACCTTCACAGACTCCATGAATTGATACCCATCTCCTAAATATTTGGTCACATGATCAATTTCTTTTACCATTTCCAAGCAACAGGGGATGGCTCAACTTACCCTTTGGCCCAAGTTACCCCACTCTCCCCTATTTGAGATTGGTGGTTAATGGAAAGTTATCAATAAATATGTGACTGGAGAAACAGGTCTTTGTGTAATTTAACCACCTGGGTGAAAGAGGGGACAGTAATTCCAGAATGACACCAACTCCACTTCCTTTAGCAGATTTGGCACAACCACTTCCAAACTATTAACTATCCATAACTAAATGACCTGTATTCTAGTTTTTGAATTATTCAGCCGTTAAAATATCAAAAACTTCCTTTGAAATGTGAATAGGAGTGCTTCAGTGACCTTACAAAGTAAGTTAAAATGAAGATCTATACTAGACCAATTTGGTGGGGAAATGTATGATATTGATTTTAAGAAATCAAAGAAATGAAAGTATAAGACAGTTTCTCTGTGGGAATTTGTCACATTTTTTGTGATAATCTACGCCCTACATGTATAAATCTCCTGATGAGCCGCAGCAAAAATAAATTATTAGTGTAATGTTAGCCAGAGGTGGATTGGCCATCAGGAGTACTGGGACTTTTCACTAATGGGCTGATTTTGTTTTTATTTATTGAACTTTTATTTTATTTTATTTTGTTATTTTATTTTTTACCATGCCTCGCCTCTCCTTGATAACCAATGAAATTCTACCAGCCCAGAGGAGAGAGACATGCATCTGCTCGGCCCACAGTGCCGACTGCAGACACAGCAGAGAGGTGACAACTGGCCCAGTAGCTTGTCTGTCTAAAGAATACCTGGCCCAGTGTGAAGGGCTACAGGGGCCCAAGAGTCCTACCCACGCATGTTCTAGACCCCCTCGTCCAATCACTTTTATTGATGTTGATGAGGAGTTGATTAGAGAGAGAGCGAGAGAAAAAACAACAACAACACACCAGCACACAACAAACAAAAATGGATGTGGCAGGTAGGATTCAGAGGCAGTGGCTGCATGCTGTGCAGCCTCTCCAAAATTAGGTCAACTCCTCCTCCTTTTCCCCTACCCTCCTATTTAAGGCACCTGTGGCAAGAGAGCTGCCTTTCCTTTGTCTGTTCCCCGCTTGCTGCCACATGGTCTGAACAGAGGTAATGAGGCCAGGGTCATTGTATTTGACCATTTATTTTGGGTTTTTTATCAGTGGCTGAACTCTGTGTGTTCTTTTAGGTCGTTTGATTCCAGTTTGCACTTTTCCCTGACTACTTTCAGTTTGCACTTTTCCCTGTCTGTCGGCATCGACTGGTACAAGTAATGTTAAGCAGGTCAGAGGAAACCTGGATGAATGTACCTCAACAGTTATGAGTGGCCATATCTTATTAACAGGAGGTGGTGTCCAAGAAATGGCATGATTATCACATTTCTCAACAGTGCAATAATTTCTGTCTCTCATATTGCAGACTCAATCAGCTGCTGTTTTATTCTTTCAAATCCTGTTTTTGTCTTTCAGAGTTTGTTTTTAATGGTTTAAACTGGGTTAATTCTTTGGGTGTATGTCCCTAGGTGGCGTTGTTGGATTACACTGGCGCAAGTCTGAAATTGGCCCCTCTCCCAAATAGAAAAGCAAGGTAAAAAACGCAAAGGCAGTGTGGAAATTTTGAGGGAAAGTGAAAGAAAAGCTCTGGCAGCACAGGCTGCTAAAAGTAAATCAATTAAGCAGATGTTGCTGCAGAGACCGGCCTAGCTGGGGCTAGCTGCACCGATGCTGCAGCTTCAGCGGCGTGAGTCTGGCAGTGAGTCTGAAGACAGTGAGGCTCCTGTTACCACTGCCCTTATGGTGCAGGAGGAAGCTGAAAAAAATAAGAGTTGAGGAAGACTCTCCACTGTATGAAGGAAGTAGTGATACAGTGGTAAGCAGATATGTGCCTTCCAGAATAGTGTGGATAAATGGTTGCTTAACTATAAAGTATTTGAAAACAATAACCATATTCATGTACTATCCTGATTAATTGATTAGTTGCTTTTATTAACCACTCAAGCCCTTCCTCATACTTTCAAAGGATTTGTCTTTATGCCACACAAAATTGCAGATCTACAAACTTACAACTCACATGTTGAAATGTGATGTGTTTTGAGCATGTAGATCTGATATTTTCAGCTTTTTTTCCTTTCTACCTATAATGACATCCCCCCAATCATGTCCCCAGAGTTAAAGTGCGTTAATATGCACCTTTTTTACTGCCTGCGGTCTAGTTTGTCCATTAAGGACATCAATCTAACAACTTAAATAATGTCATTTTTCAGTAAGTGTTTACAGGCATCAATATGAATTTTATTCTATTGTGTTAATGTCAAAGAAACTCTTCACAAGAGCTTTAAGTTGGTGATTTTGTCCTGGTGCTATGTTTTTTTTTTTACATAGCAATATCATACCCTTTGATTAATTCAGTGGTCATTAAAAAAATGTCCTGAAATATTCATTTAATATGCAAGAAGTATTTAAGATCAGTGTGTCACTTTAGTGGTAAAGCTGTCTGGCCAAACTTTGGAGAAAAGGAAAATGTTTTGCAATTTTCTGAAAACACTGCCCTCAACCAAAAACATAGAATGTCCAGATGTTTCTTGTGTATTATAAACTTGCTTTGACAGTTTCATTTGAAGTTTGAGTGAAGCCACCCACCACTGTAAGACTGTCAGTGTCACTCAAAACGTAATATTTTAAGGTCAGAATTCATGGCAGAGCCATTTGTATATGTGTTTGGATCTTACTGGATCAAGATTCCGATTAGAATAAGTAGGTTTACCTTTTAATGAAAAACAGTAAAGCAAATTCAAAGAAAGTATCTGTATCTTTGATAACCTGAAAAAGAAGACTCAGACTAAGCTGCTTGAGATGCTTGGGTTTGTTGAGAGTATATTTAGATAATTCTGCAGTTTTTATGGTATGTTTCTTTACTTCATAAGATAGCTTATCCCTCTGGTTTATTACACTGTCTTTTGAGTTCTTATGTTGTTCAGGTTTACAGTGTTGGCTGACTTTTTTTATGGGTGCCATTTTGGGGATTATGCCTTTTTTTTTGTTAATATGCCTAACACCTGTTTTAATAAGTGCTGTACAAATAAAGTTATTTCTATTAAAAAGATATTTGCAATATTTCTACTTTTGCCCGACCCAAGTATGGGTGGTTGCGGGCAAAGCAACACCACCATTTGACATGGACTGATGAGGTCTTTAATATTCTTGTAGAAGTTTGTTTTGATGCCATGTGGGATTACAAATTTGTGAACTCATAATTTCAGTGAGCCAGGGGTCCTGAAGCAAAAGGCGATAAAATCATAGCATACCCGGTGAAATCAACATTTTGATACACTTTTATTTCAAAACAAAGTTTATCATACGCATTAGCTCGGAAAAGCCAGATTTACTGTTTTTTGTTTTTGTTATCGTTGAGAATTGTTAGCAGAGACTGGCAGCGGTTTTGTCCTCCCCCGTCTCTCGGCTGTCTCTTAAACAACACACATTACAAACAGTGAGGTCTCAGCCTGGATTTCCTCACAAGTCTCCGCCCCTCAAGGTTGCTGACAGTCGGCTGGATGCCTGCACGGTCTGGCTGAGGAAGATCCGGGAAGGTTAGGGGACAGGAAAGACTGGGAGCCGCGCGCATCATGATCCCGACCACCAACGCATGAAAGCCGAGCGGTTACATCTTCAGCTCCAGTTCACATCCAGAGACAGGTAACACGCTTCACACTGACACTATGTACATGTAGAAGAGGCATTTTTGGCGCGATCAAGCCTAATGTTTGGATGGACAGGGTTTCACAACTAGTTTTCTCAGAAAACCGTTAGTTTACCTGGTCTGACCACTACTTGTAATCGCATGCGCACTTATTCCCGTATGTGACATTTATAAGCGAACAAATGTAAGACTTGGCAACGTTTCCAGGATCTCCCCTAATGTTGAACTTGAAACTTAAATCAAAGATGATTTCTTAATGATTAATACTGATAAATTAATGACTTTTCTGACTGTATCGGCACTTCGTAAGGAGCCGCTGCTCTACCACTGAGCCTTCATAAAAAGTGCGCCTCATTATCAGTGACACCTTTTTTTCGGTCCTGCATTGCGGGTAGTACTTTTCCACGTCCCCTAAAGAGACAGGACTTCTGTCTGCACGGGGCTGGGTGTGTTCCAAACAAGTCTGTTTTTGGATATCTTGGATTCAGACAAATTTCCTGTCAGGAAGGGACAAGGATATGGCCTGGTCAGCTCCATTCAATGGCTGACTCATCCAGCAGGGAGACAGGATTTTTCCAAATAGAAAACGTCAGACTTTAACATTACACACCCAAGGAGCTACCAGCACACACCCCTTTACTCTGTACATTGTTTATGATTTTATTATTTTTTCATGATTCTAGTCTGTTGATAAAACTTTAAAGGTCACAAAGAAAAATGAGGAGGGATTGTTTTCTTATCTATACCCTGAAATTACTCTAACTGAATGGCACACACTTCATGGCACACACGTCATTTATTTGACTTCTGATGAGCTGTCAGAGTTGTTTCTGTGATTCAATCATTTCAAAAGACAGTCGCTTCATAAACTGAAAGGGAAAAGTTTGAGCTCTTACCTTCCAGATGTAGGAAAAGTTTGACCCAGAGTTTTTGGCGTGAATAGATGTGAAGATCTCATAACAGGCTCATTGGACTTAGATAATATGTGTCTTGGGAGTTTATTTTGTTGGATGTGACATGTAAAAAGGGAAATCTCTGGCGATGTCAAACCTTGGCCCTAGTTTTTCTTACACACTTGGGGACTATAAGGTCAAAAGGGTTTGAGTTATTTCTCAAGGACTTTACTTGTCGTACTTTCTTTGCTGCTGAAGAGCCCAGATCTCTCTCAGTACTTCTAAATGTTTTAGAGGAGTTGTAAACAGTTTCACAATAAAGAAATATGTAAAAATAGAGATATCGTAAAGCTTTGCTGTATCTGCTTGGGCAGATGTATAGAGCTATGTGAGGAAAAAGTATTCAAATTTGTCTCAACTGAGCCTTTAAAGTAAACCATCAGTGTAATGCATTTTCGATATGTAGGCTATAACTGATGCTCTTTCCTGCAGCAGTGACACTGATGTGGAGGGGTCTACACAGATTTGCAAAACTACATGGAACGATAAAAAATATAGTCTTTTTAAGGAATAGCTAACTGTTCAGCAGCGTATTAAAGTTAAATGTACAATGAGGTTAAGTTAGGTGTAAACAGACAGTATTGGCTTCTCTGAAAATATGGATCAGCATATATTAAGGATAATGTATAATGAGCAGGTGGTTATATAGAATCCTCCTGACACTTAGGATAAGTTTATGGATTAGGAAGTTTAAGATTAAGTTTAATATTTATGTCTACATGAATGTCAACATTAGCATGATTTACTGATCACATCAATTACACATTTACATTAGTGGAAATGCCAAAACATTGGCATTTTTCTATTGGCATTCTTAACAGTTGCAGAAAATAGCAACCTCATGAGGTTCCCTGTAACTTTTCTACAGGCATATTCTTCCCATTCAACCAGTCCTGTAATTTTGCCAAAGCCCACACTGGGTTGTGGTTGTATTTACTTTGTGTGTTTTCTTCACTTTGGTCAATGTCTCTTTTAATAAGTGCCTTGTGTTTGGTTTTCCCACTTCTTTTCTTGTTTTCTTTGCTATTGAATTGTCAGACATTGGCCACAAATCTAATGGTTAAAATTGAGAGAAGTATTGTAGCTGTTCCCTTTTTTGTTTACCAGTGCTAACAGACTGGGAGAGGTGAAAACATTAACACAAACTAAATGTTTTTTTGATTGATTTGATACATGTGTCACTAGGTTGGTGCTCTCACTATCAACAATTTTGAACCCTCGTTAAGGGCTTTTGACCAACCAGATTCACGTATTCCCAGTGGGGTGATAGGTGAGAAAGCTTCACTACAGGCCAAAAGTTTGGAAGCAAGGCCATTACAGGCTGAACAATTGGGAGTAACTTCAAGTTTTTATTCACAATGCTTTTTTTAAAATCCAGCATGAGTTTTATGTATTGTGGGATGTATTTACTCCATGATCAGATGTTGCCTTCATGGAAATGCACCATTTTACTCCATTTACCTTTAGATATACATTGATGTTAACAGACCATTGCTAAATATATGTCAGCAAAAGATAATAAGGGCTTAGTTTTAGGGTTGAAAACATTTGCAAGAGTCACAACTTCAGTTCAAAAGCAAAAAAACAAATCACAGTTGGATTATTCACTTCAACTTTTTGGCTTTTGAGAGTCTGCATACAAAAATCCTAATAAATCTCAACTGTGTTCAAACTACCGCAAAAATGGCTAAAAAGGAGCAACTGAGTAAAGAAACAAAAGTACAGATTTGTACCTTGAGGAAAGAAGGATACACAGAAAGAGAAATTGCAAAACGCCTAAAGGTGTCTAACAAAGGAGTCAACTACACTCTGAAGAGACTAGAGGAACCTGGAAGTTATGATGATAGAAAAAGGCCTGGACGAAAGAGAGTTACTACAAAAGCAGAGGCATTGTAAACATAGCATGGTCACCATTAAGAGAGATCGGCAAAAGACAGCACCACAAATAAGGGAGGAAATCAACATGACAAGGTCGAAACCCATATCTCTGACAACCGTGAAATGATGTTTGAGAAAGGCTGGTCTGAAGGGTTGTGTGTCTGCAAAAAAACACTACTTCATCCACAGAACAAGAAAAAGAGATATGAGTGGGCAAAAGCTCACAAAAAATTGGCCTATGATGACTAGAAACAAGTTCTCTGGACCGATGAAAGCAAGTTTGAACTGTTTGGTTCAAAACCCAGAGTCTATGTCTGCAGACAAACTGGTGAACGTCTGAAAGCACCATGTGTTACACCCACAATTAAGCAAGGAGGTGGTAGTTCCATGGTATGGGGATGATTTGCAGGTGATGGAGTAGGAGATTTTTTTGAGGAGGTTACTTTAAAGAAAGCAAAGTCTAAGCAACAATAACTCAAATACCTAATAATTATAGTCAAAGTGTCTTCTTATAAGTTACTCTTTACACAATAGTTATGTTTATTGTGTTGCAAATTATATATATGAAACTATAATCTTTTTTTGTACAAATCTGATCTTGCTTCCAAACTTTTGGCCTGCAGTGTAGATAGCAAGACAAAACAATGCACTTTATTTTTACATTTATTTTTGCATGTAATACAAAAATCACAAATGTTCACACAGCATTTCTGTTAACTAGGCCTTTCATTTTTGAACGACACAGCAGGCCACGTAATGCCACACAGGCATTAGAAATAGGACGCTTGCAGCTGTGGTAGTAAGCACTTTACTACCTGCACAGAGTGTTAGCACAGAGCAGCATCAGGGAAACTGCTGCATCACATTTTGTGCTGCTGCTGTAAACAAAGACAGGTCCTTGACAGATTAATAGTTCACACTATTGCTCAATCCAAACAAGAAAAGAGCAGAGGTCTGGTTCAGTTCAGTTCTGTCAGTGAATGTATTCATCATGAAGCCAATGTACAGTCATGTAGCTCGCTTAGACTTTGAAGTTGCTTTCCAAACATCGGTCACAAGCTCTACAAAAACAGTCAATCTAATGACTTTCAAACGATTATAACTGTGCAGCACTTTAAACAGACCCTAGTTCTGTAGAAACGTGTTACATTTACTTTAGTACTTGTTCAACAATAACAAAGCAAAAAAGGTGCAAAAGTTTATGAGACTAGACCATGCTAACCTGCTAATTTAAGCAGGCATGTTTATAGGGCTGCAACTAACGATTATTTTGATAATCGATTAATCTGCCGACTATTTTAATAACTAATCGATTAATCGGATAAACAGGCTAAATTCATCAATGCAGCTGTTAATAGCAATAGCATAGGGCTTTAGTTTATCATATGAGTTTATATGCCATGAGGTGTTGAGGTCTCTGCATGTGAAGGTTACTGACTTACTGTAATCATCGGGTCTATCTCGTCTTCTTCTGTAGTCAAACCGCAAGATATCAAAATCTACCCGGATACAGCAATGCTGCTTTTTGATTGGCTGTTCAGTAGATATACTTTATTTGATTGGCTTGCGCGTGGCACGCAGCTTCTGAACTCTCGGAGAAACTCAGTTGATTTCCCCCTGTTCCATAGTTAAAGAGGTGCAACTTGGTGGACATCACCGTGTTCATTTAAATGCGTGAGAAGTGTGGTGTGTGAGTGTGTGAACGAGTGGGAATGCGTGTGTCATACGCTGAATGCGTGAGACTTGAGAGCCCTGTGCTCACGCATCATCGATGTACTCCCGTGCCATGCAAAACTGGCTTTGCAAATGTTGCACTGAACGCCTTCCTTTTCAGTCTTGGTAAAGTTTTCCCACACCATGGGTTGTGTCCATGTTTTTCTCAGCCGCTGCCTCGGCCATGGCTGTTTCTTTTCTGTGCGTCCTGCTGATGTTTACACGCCGGTGTCCATGGACATATATAAAGACCCGACGAATCGATTACAGAATTAGTTGGCAACGAATTTTTTCGTCACAACGAATCGACTTAATCGATTCGTTGTTGCAGCCTTACATGTTTAAGTAGTCCATCCTCTGTGTTCAGCACGTTTGTCATATTTTGTATATTTTTTGTACATGATTATTTTTTCACTACAACATTTCAGAACAGGACTTGAAGAATAGAAAGGTTTCAGTCTAGCTAGTGCTATGTTTGACAATAACCCTGACCACTTTGCCTCATGCTAGTTTGTAACCGGCTCCTGTACACTCTTAGCTTTCACCAGCTGCAAATAACTATAGGGTGATTTCAAGTATGACAGTATATCGTTTCAGCAAAATTTCTGCGTTTGTGGCTGGCTCCATTGCTTCCTTGTAGGTTTTAGTCAGGACTGTATGATTTAAATCAAGAAACTACAAAAAGTTTTATAAAGACATTCACACAGGCCCAAGAAGATCATAGTGAGAAAAACTTTTTGGTGATCTGTGAACAGCTTCTTGTAGGTTTTTTTTTTTTGACATTTTATTGTTTGCAGTGCAAGAAATCTTGTCTTCCAGGTGACTTTTCTGTCATATACCCTCCAATTGACAAGTGCCTTTCGAGTTGCAACAGGGAAGTACATCCAATGATCAAAACACTTAATTTTACAGCGTAGTATCTTTTTAATGTACGATAAGTCTTTTTTTCACATCCATTCTTTTTCTGTCAAGGTTTTGCTAACCATCCAGCTTCCTAGCTACGCATTTACACGATTCAGCTTCAGCTGTATACATGGGGGACAGCCATGTACATTCCCAACTGTATTATGTAGGTATTTTAGTAGACTGACTAATTGTAATAGTGGCAAAACCCTCAGAAAGTAACCATGGTTAGCACATTTGGTCATGTGCCAGGTTAACCAAACACAGCCTTTACACAATTTTGTCTCATTTTCTAGATCAAAATACTGCTAAACTGTCCTGCAGTATGCCATCTGACTTTTTTCCTTATTTATATTTGGGTAGTCGAGCATTTTAGTATTATAGTAGTAGCTGTGAATATAAAATAAAGCCCCACCTTGTGGCTCGTAGTTTAGACACAATACACTGTATGACCAGCATTTGGGGTCTGATGGGAGTGTGCTTTGTTTGTCCTGATGTTTGTGTATTCCTTATATATCTGCAAATGGGACATGAAGATTTAAAGGGTTTTTGGGTCATTCTTTGGTGGGACATGAAAGTATTAAACTTAGACTTCTCTGAGCGCTTTAAAACCAGAATACCCATTTACTTTGACTTTATCCATGTTGTTTCATCCCTTTACAGCCAAACTATTTCCACTTTGTGTCGTCTGTAAATAATGTGGGATAATTTCCTTATCTTGTGGCAGGCATCATGATTCCTGTGATGGAATTCCGGCAGTTCTCTGAACAGCAGCCAGCGTTCAGAGTCCTAAAGCCATGGTGGGATGTCTTTACCGACTACCTGTCTGTGATCATGCTAATGATCGGTGTCTTTGGATGCACTCTTCAGGTCAGTAATCATTCCTCACTATGACGTGTCTACTAAAAGGGAACAAGCTAATGTGCTCCATGAGGGTTAGTAATGGCTTGTGCTACATGTTTGCTCTTTTCAATCATAACCACCACATTAAAAGTGAAGGACAAATGTAGCTGATGCACACTAATGTAACATGAGTTTGTACTGTAATATGCGTATGAGGTGAAAGGAGTTGTACTATTTGTTCCCATTAATTTTAAAGTAATTGAATTTATGAGTAAGTCTATAGGCTCTGTGATGCTGCATTACTGCTGTGCCTCCTGCTTTGGCATCAGCTCAGAACCTCTAATTCGCTGCTTTTACAACCTGGACTGCATGCAGCAAAGGAAGCATTCAGCCCATCGGGAGGTTACCAGTGGAAACATTTACCCACCCAGCCCCTTTCAGTAAACACAAGATCCCACTTCTTTCACTGCACTCTCCTTCTCCCTCTGGAGTTGGAATGTTTTTTGGCCACTGCAATACTCTGTAGTGTAAACTCTGGAAATTATCCCAAAATATTTTGAGATAATCTATTAAATGGTTTTCATCAGAGCAGGAAAAGACATTGTTTTGAACTTGCTCTAAAACAATATTTGGATGTGATCTAATGGTTGGTGAACTGAACGGGTAATTAATTATGTAGCCGAGTTTACTTTCCACTGCAGGACACTATCAACATGCCCTTTCCTTCAGCCTCATACTTTAATCCCAGAAGAAATACAGAAAGGCACTAAGTTTGTTAAATCCTGCAGGAAAGCTGCTCAGAGACCTCATCGTACCTGACTTTGTATTTTAATGATATGCTGCAGCACAACTGCATTGCTCTCACCTCAGTAACACTGTCATCTTATATCCACTACAAATCAAGTTCTGTAATACGAGAACATCCCCAGACCATGTTTAATTATCATGTGCATGCAGGAGTATCAGGAAGTTAAAGACATTTCACAAAATGTCCCATTAGTGCTAACTCCAGGCCTGTTATCATTAAATAAAAGTGCCCATGTCCTGCTGTTTAGCATTGCAGTGTAGCAGCTGTGTTTCACTATTTACAGAAGATGTAAATATTGTTAGCTTTTGGCCAGGATTACGAAAGCTTATTTTAGCTTGTTTAACCTGGCAACTGAGAGAAATCCTGTTCCAAAAAAGGTTTATACCCCTGTAAGTTCTTGTATACAGAGTGTGAGCACAGATTATCCCCTGAAAACACTGAATATATGAAGAGAAGGAAAATAATAAAGAAACTCTTAAATAAAAGCATCGGCTGTATGACTGGGGTGACTGTAAGCTTTTAAGTATGAAAAGGGGCACCTTAACTTCCTCTAGCTTGCATCGTCTTCATTAAATTGCAGGGGTAACCTAATGGTGGCAGAAAGAAGATGAACGTGCGCAGCTGAGGTGTGTCCAGAGGGTGGCGTGGGCTTTTTTGAAGTCTGATTATTAGAATTTTAATATTGCACGTTTTAATTTGTGGGGCTGTCAAATGAATATTCTAAATTTGAATATATATTTGAATACTTAAAAAAGCAAGATCCAAATGTGAAAATTGACTTTCACATACTAAATAAACAGTGGGAAAAAAAATTAAGTGGGAAAAAAATGGAAAACAAAAAAAAAAACAGTGGCTGCTTTGCGAGTGAGCGCACTGTAACGCTAGGTCAGGGACAGGTCACAGGAGCTGCACCTGCAGTGAGACTCGACAAAAACCGTCTGTGGCACACGCAGAGAGAGATGTCAGGATGTTCAGAGCCAAACTTGGAGAGAGTGGTCTGGACTCCAATGAACTTGTAAATTTTTCGGATTTTGGGCAGACACGGTAGACAGAAAAATGCTGAGCAAGACAAAGTTATATGCAAACTGTAGAAGCTAGATATTTGAATTTGATCAAACTTATGGGCGCCAGCGGCGCGGCGTTAGGGTGGCGCACCCCACGCAGTGGTGTTTTTGTCTGGCGGAGCCTGACGCACAGCCAGTTTGGTATTTTCGTAGACTGAGGCGCACCGAGGTCTGCCAAGCTGGGCGTGGTGGTGTGGTAGGGGGAGGTGTCGACAGAATCAGCTGGAGCAGGGACATTTTCGTGCTCGCTGGCGGTGTGGAAAGTGTGCTGAAAGCTCGCCGATTCAAAGGTGCTCTCCTCACCTGGATTTAAAGGTGAGGAGAGGAGCTGATGTGATTGGTGAAAACAGGACTCAGCTGTGTTAAACCCACTCCGCTCACCAAAATACCAAAATGTGCTTGGGCATGCCTTATCAGCGCGGCAGACCTGACTTACTTAGAACGAGTATTCAAACATCATTTTGAAACAATTTTGACAGCCCTATTCATTTGTGTGATTCAAGTTGATAAACACTTTTCCCAGCTATTTCATTAGACAGGGCTGTAAGAAAAGAATCTGTCCAAAAAATGCCACTAAATGTATTTTTGACAAAAAGTATGCAGGAATTTTTTGTATTAAAAAATAAGTGACAAAAGTTTTCTTTTTGAGCCTTTTTCCAAAAGTTGAATAATTGTACACATTAGTATAATACCTGTCTGATAGCATACTGCAAGGAGTTTAAGTATATATGATTAGAGTAGATGACAGGATAAATATGTTACTCATATGTGTCTGCACATGTATGTCATGCCTATGTCTTTAAGAATAGAGAACTTCCTTTTGTCTTCAATATTTACTTCAGTCTAAGTTAATGGTCTCAAACTGTTTTAAGTTCCCTGGAAAATAGTTTGTTTTGTAAATCAAAGCTCCTGTGTGGAACTTTCTGTTTGTCCCAAATATTGTGCCCCCCTGTGGACGAAGCAGTCTTAGCAGGTTTTGTCCTGTCCACATGTATTTAGGGTTTTGTGACAAGCAAAATCTCTCTTTACTGTCTTTTTACAGCCAGCTGTACCACTTATTGACGATCTTAAGGTAACATGCAGTTATTTACTTTGTGTGACACCTACCTCTAACCGTGTCCAAAAAGTCAGGCTTCTTGTTATTGGCCTCGATAGATTTGTAGGTCATGAAGACACATCATTATTCGTTTCAGTCTGTTTTGCAACCACCCAAAAATCCTCACTGGAGTATTGAAGGTCCCTATTATGGCATTTTTCATCAAGTTTAAATCGGTCCCAGTATAGTAAATTTGAAGTTTGTTTTTTGTGGATATAAGCCAGCCTGTGCCCCCTCTTTTTGAGCTCCGGGCTGATACTGCACCTGTACCTTTAACTGATAATGAGCTGTGTGCCCCTCTCTGGAAGGGGCTGCGGCTTTCGCTCCGATACTGTGCGCTAATCTTTACAGCCTGTGCAGTGTGATGGCTCATAGAATGCTGTGGTCCAGCCCTACCTATCTGACCCAGAGTCTGACCAAGAGGGAGAGGTTCCCGAAGAGAGCCAAACTCTGCTAGGTGGGTTAGCTTATCTGACGGCTGACGGCTCTGCTGTCTCGTCGTTACTTGGAGCTCTTTTGGTGAATACCTAATATTTTGAAAAGTGGAATATTATAGTTATCTCTCGTGACTAACGCCATTTGGTGTCTGTCTGTCCGTAATGTCCAGCTTCGTGCAAAAAGACGGATGGAATGATAGGATAGGATGGACTAAATGCTCCATCCATCTCCGTTTCCGTCTTCAAGGAGGGAGCTTATGTAGTTATGTCGTCATAACCGCACAGCTTTTCCATTCACCCGTTTGCGCTCATGTTTTCAGAAAGAAGGGGAACGCAAGAGAGGGGGAGAATGAAATTTTTTCATGTCGAGGGGGTGGGTGAGGGGTGGGGGTAGGGTTGTCAGCTTCGAGAGGATGCAAATTATTGGTAGAAAACCACCCAAAAGTGGATTTTTCATAATAGGGGACCTTTAAGGTTCCATTTAGAGTAAAAAAGAAGGGAAAGCATGGATGTCTTGGTATTGACAAGTTGCTACGAATGTGACATCTTGACAGTGTTGTATCGTAAGTAAGTAGCAATATTTAAGTACAAGTACGTGACACTTACTTTTACTTGGCTACAGTTCTAAAAATGAAAGTATACTTTTATTGTCCGCAGCTGCTTGTAAGCTGTTGCTTGCACAAACCTAAATGTCCAGTGTTCTGTCCTAAGTTCCTTCTTGACTGTAGGAGGATGCACTATTGATTCTCCTGATTGGTGGTGGTATGTGTGCGTGCCCCTCTCCGTGTGTGTCCATTTATTCTTCTGAGCTGTTGCTTGCACCCACCTGAAATGTGTGCTTATTTGGGCATACGTGACTTTTGCAAAAAATTAGAATTTATTTATTTGTACTTTTACTTTGACTTTCTACTTTTAATTAAAGTACATTTACTTGAGTACTTTTGATACTTCAGTAGAGAGAATGTGATATACTTTGAGACTTTGACTGGAGTAGAATTCTCATGGGAGATTTTCACCTTGACTTGTCATTTTCTGGTAAGGTAACTATACTTTAACTCAAGTACATTTGATTCATACAACACTGTATCTTAAGCAGCAGTGCATATCCTCCCAAGCTCCATCCACTTATCCACAAATGACTCCTGGCATTTGCATTGTTTTAGGCTTTAAAATGTGAGCTTGGTTGATTCAGAGGAAGCTGTGATGATGCTGTTAGTATGTTTATATGCACAGTTACAGCTCAAATAGGCAATTTAACTCCTTACCTTGTTGCAGTCTCCATATGCTGGGCAAGAAGTGATTTATTGACTAAAGTATGTCTGTCTCCACTGCAGTAGGTGGCGATAGAACTGTTGGGCACATCATGTGACAAATGATTTAGCAAGAGGGTAGTGACCTTTATGACAAGATTAAAAACAGAAAACTTTCATATGTATGATGCGACAATTTGTCATTTTTATGTCTCTTCTTTTTTTTCTGAGATTTTATTTTTGACTTGGTTTCCTACAGTGAACTTTTGCTCTTCAAAGTACATCATGCAAGCTGGACTATGCACAGAATACCTAGGCTTTTTTCAATCCCATTGAGGCATACAAGGAAAAGAAAATCCATCAAACCCCAACCATACAATTAAGTATGTCAGTCTGACTAAGGGAAATTAGACTAAGTGCAATTTCACTTGTGCAAATCCAGTACGAACAAAAGTTCACTATAACCGTGGTTACTGGGATGCATGTTAACTCAAAAGTTGTTTTAAAGTGTGTGAATGCCTCCTTAATAAAGTTGCTGATCTCCTTTTTCATGTTATCTTTCTCTTATCATTTTAGGTCATGCAAGATAAAATCATCTGCCTTCCTCAGAGAATGTCATCACCTTCAGAAAACAGAAGTGAAGCTGAAGTGGAGCCGAAGTCATTGTTTCAACTGCAATCCAATATCTCAGCCACACCAAGAGAAATGACGGGCCTGAAAACTGATCTGGATCTGCAGCAGTACAGTTTCATCAACCAGATGTGCTATGAGAAGGCTCTGCACTGGTATGCCAAGTACTTTCCTTATTTAGTCCTCATACACACATTGGTTTTCATGGTGTGTAGCAACTTCTGGTTCAAATTTCCTGGCTCAAGCTCTAAAATTGAGCATTTTATCTCCATGCTTGGCAAGTGCTTCGATTCTCCCTGGACCACGAGAGCTTTGTCTGAGGTGTCTGGAGAAAACCCTGAAGAGAAAGACCATAAAAAGAGTGCTACTACTAAGTCCAACATCCCTGTGTCCCCTGGAGAAGAAATTTTGGAGAAGACACAGTCTCTTAGGTCTATCCCTGAAAAGATAGTAGTTGAGAAGCCATCAGCAAGTGTTCTTGATAAAAAGGAGGGGGAACAAGCTAAAGCTCTTTTTGAGAAGGTGAAGAAGTTTCGTTTACACGTTGAGGAAGGAGACCTCCTCTATCTGATGTATGTCCGCCAAACAGTGTTCAAGGTGATTAAATTCCTCCTCATCATTGCTTATAACAGCTCTCTGGTGAATAAAGTGAGGAATAGAGTTCGCTGTCAGGTTGAGATCCAGGACATGACAGGCTACAGAGACTTTGAATGTAACCACACCATGGCTCACCTGTTTTCAAAGCTGTCTTACTGTTACTTGTGTTTGGTGGCTGTGTATGGATTAACAAGCCTTTACACCTCCTACTGGCTGTTTTACCGCTCACTGAAGGAATACTCCTTCGAGTATGTGCGACAGGAAACAGGGATAAACGACATCCCGGATGTGAAGAACGACTTTGCCTTCATGCTGCACATGATCGATCAGTATGACCCACTGTATTCCAAACGATTTGCAGTTTTTCTGTCTGAGGTCAGTGAGAACAAACTGAAACAGCTCAACTTAAACCACGAGTGGACAGCAGAGAAGCTGCGCCAGAAACTCCAAACTAATGCCAACAACAGGCTTGAACTGCAGCTCTTCATGCTCCCCGGGTTGCCTGACACTGTTTTTGAGTTGACAGAGCTGCAGTCACTCAAGTTAGAGATCATCAACAATGTCACCATCTCTGCCTCTGTCTCCCAGCTGGAGGACCTCCAGGAGCTGTCTCTTTACCAGTGCTCTCTAAAGTTGCACACAACAGCTACCTCCTTCTTTAAAGAGAACCTTAAAGTGCTCCGTGTGAAGTTCGATGACAACAGGGAACTTCCACACTGGATGTATGGCCTGCGCAACTTAGAGGAGCTCTATCTCACTGGATCTCTGAGCCCTGATGCCTCCAAGAACATAGTCCTTGAGTCACTGCGGGAGATGAAGTGTTTAAAAACCCTCTCCCTTAAGAGTAATTTGACCAAGATACCCCAGTCTATTGTAGATGTTTCAAGCCATCTGCAGCGCCTGTACTTGCACAATGATGGCACGAAGCTAGTGATGCTCAATAACCTGAAAAAGATGTCCAACCTGATTGAGTTGGAGTTAGTGCGTTGTGATCTAGAGCGCATCCCACATGCAATCTTCAGCCTGACAAACCTGCAAGAGCTTGACCTTAAAGAAAATAACCTGCGATCGATAGAGGAGATCATCAGCTTCCAACACCTTCGAAAACTGATTTGTCTCAAACTTTGGTACAATGGCATCATGTACATCCCAGAGCACATCAAGAAACTCGGAAGCCTGGAGCGCCTCTACTTCAGCCACAACAAGATTGAGATATTGCCTTCACACCTGTTCTTATGCAACAAGCTGCGCTACTTGGACCTGTCCAACAATGACATCCGGTTCATTCCCCCAGAAATCGGAGTCCTTCAGAGTCTGCAGTATTTCTCTGTCGCCTGTAATAAACTTGAAAATCTCCCAGATGAGCTCTTCTTCTGCAAAAAGCTGAAAACACTAAAGCTCGGCAGAAACTCACTCTCCATCCTCTCACCAAAAATTTCCTACCTAGCTCTGCTGACCTACCTGGATCTCAAAGGCAATCACTTTGAGCTCCTGCCTCAAGAGCTGGGTTGCTGTCGTGCTTTGAAACATAGTGGCCTTATTGTGGAAGAGACGCTGTTTGAGACATTACCTACAGATGTCAGGGACCAAATGAAGGCTGAGTGAGATGCCTTAATGTAGCCACAGTGTCTGCAGGTTGTTCTGCCTGCAAAGTCAGAGCTTTTATTTTGTATCAAGACAGTACCATATCGATACTGTTGAGTAAGTTAAGTTTTATTTTCTTAAGTGGATGGAACATATAATGACTTCCTCATTTGATGTCACACAGATTGAAGCTGTAACTAGGAGGCTTGCTTTGTTCAGTTGGTAATAATTTACTTTCCATTTTGCCAGCCACAAAACCTCCTTAAAGTCCCACTCCAATATTTTTTTTTTTTTTTTACTACTTAAAGTGTTCTCAGTGGTCTTTAAAATTGTGATTATTAAGTTTTTAGACGAAAATCACATTACTGGAGTCATTTTCTCTTTTTTTTTTTGGGTGATGTTTGCCTTTTATTGATAGAACAGGGTGAAATGTGGGAGATAGAGAGAGAGGGGGGAGGATATGCGGCACATGGTCGGGGCTTGACTCGAACCTGCGACCACTGCGGGGACCGTGGTCCCCATACATGGGGCGCACTAACCTGCTTTGCCATCTGCACACCCCCTGAAGTCATTTTCAAGGACTTGTCTTCTGCAGAGCTCCAGTAGCTCATTAGCAATTCGCCTCTGAGGCGTGGGCAGTGGCAGCGCTGCTCTGCACGCTCCTGTTCACGCTAGCTTGTAGCCTAACATTGCCAGTGCAGCAGAAGTGGCAGGTAAGATAGGAGCTATTCAGCTCTCTGCTAATAATCTCTTCAGGGGCATGATCAAAGTTAATATCACAATTAGCTTTTTTACGAATATACAATCCACTAACGCATGTTCCGCGATTGTCCTCTCTATTTCTCTGAGTCTGGCCTGCATAGCGGGGCTCTGGGAGCGTAGCATAGGTTTGTGACATAGGAAATCTCACTGAATCTGAGCCTGCTGTTTGGGTCTGCCAGAGATTCACGTTAGTGTTGTGTCGTTTATGAACGTTTCGTTCAAAAGAACGTAACTGCTGAGTGAACAACGTGAACTGGATCACTCAAAGACCTGATTTGTTCCTTTCTCTGTTCAGTTGAGCTAAGCCGCGAGCCTGGCATGCCGGTCGGCAAGGGAGCTGTTGTCTCGGACTCTTTGGCGAACAACACACAGCCAGCCAGCGAGCAGGCGGAGTCTTGTGATTCACTCACAGCATATGAATGATATGTGTCAGTCAGTCAGTAAACAAAAAGTCTGTGAACAACATGTATCAGTCAGTGAACAACATGTATCAGTCAGACTGTGAACGAAATGAACGACTTCTGAACGACTTGAGGCAGGCAGAGGAGGGAGGGGTGTAGCGTTGTTCACTTCCTGCCGAGCACCAGTTCATTCACTGAGGCTAAGATAAAACAGTGCATTATAGTGCCTTTACATTAATACACGTGTATAAACTTTTCTGCAAAAAGGATTTAATTTCAGCTGATTTAAAGCAATACGCTATGCGATATCTTTAAAAGTAGAAGAATCCCCGCTCAGCTGTGATGTTTATTTGTTTTAATCTCTCCACTTTTCAGTGATATAAAAGATTGATGACTCGCGCTTGTTTAGCGGGTGTGCTGCTGTGTTGTTTCCGCTGACAGCGACACACAGAGAATGGAGTTTTTCAGGGCAGGGGAGTGATTCTATCTTCAGAACTTGGCGAATGAACAACATGTGTCACCCAGTGAACAATGCTGTGGCTTCAACAGCAGGGGAGTGGAGGGGCTCGTTCAATGAACGAACTCACGACTGTGTCACTCACTGGTGTACTGCACTGGCAGGACGGGGCTGCACTGACTGATTCAGTGAACGAATCTCTTGAACGAATCGTTTTAATGAAGGATTCTAAAGATTCAGTACAGTCAAAAGAACTGTTCTTCAAATCACTAATTCACAGCGATTTAAATGAAGAAATAAGCAGAAATGCAATTTCGCACAGATTTTTCTCATGATATGTCCTGTAGCATCAGAAAAATACCATATGAACATGTAAACAAGAAAAACATGATTCTCATTGGAGTGGGTCTTTAACGGAGACATTAAGCATTTGGGAACACTATTTTAACATTGAAGGAATATTGCCTTGGCTAACTTGCTTGGACTTGCAGAAAAACAAAGTAGAAATCTTACAGTTTCCTATAAAAGGGATATTTCAGTGTTTTTAAAGTTAAATAATGAGTTACATGTCACTAGTAAGTGTAGCCACAATGGATGCAGTTCAATTCTGCCCCTTAAGTGAGAAACTGCCGGGAGAATCTGCAAGCAAGCTAGGCTACAGTTTTCTGCAGAGGCAGCAGGGTCAGGTCCAGAATTTAGCTAACCTCAAAAGAATGAAACCCATGTACTCATCTCAGTTTAAGTGTATGCTGCACCAAGGAATTTTTAAGCATTTTGCTTTGCCATCAGAAAGCCTAAGAACTAAGACCATAATTATGCATACAAAATAGTGAAAACGGGACATTTACTGTGTAGATGGCTTTTTCGGCTCTGCTAATCTAAATCCTGACTGTTGATGAAGTTGGTTCCATACAATGGCAGGACAGTCTGTGGCTGGGAAAGTGGTTGATTGCTGGTGTAATTGATTCCCAAAGATCCTGGTGTCCTGTTATACCCATGTTCATATCTACTCCTCCCTGTCTGCAGAAAGCTGTAGCCTAGCCTACCTTGTGGGCTAGTTCTACTGGCTGTTTCTCATTGTACAAGTTTTACTGAGGGCAGAATTGATTGGCATCCATTGTGGCTTATATCCTTAAAAGTGACATTAACTTACAAAGCATCACTTCAAAAACACTGAAATATTCCTTTAAACATGGAGCCTTAGCCAATGGCTGATAAGCTTGGCTTAGCATAAAGGGGGAAGTGGGAGGGAAAAAAAGCCTTGAATAAACATTTCTATTTTATTAGCTTGTTGTTTAAAGCTCCTGTGAGGAATTTGTAAACATGCTTGAGTGCATGTTTACAATCTGTACCTCTTGTGCTTCCACAACAGCTTGTGAAATCACACTCTAGGACACCCTTATTACACCTTTTCTGGGTGCAGTATGTTAATTCAAAGATTTGGTCTCTCTGAATTTCTGGGCTGTTGCGGAGTTGCAGTGTGTAAGAGGTTTCTCTGGCATGAAAATGATGAGTGATGAAAAAATGTTAGCAGCCTGCCGTTATTGACACTCACCTTCATGTTGCATTCACAACAAGCACAAACAAAATCATTTTGCGCTGGTGAATCACATGTTACATCAATTAGACTTGGGTTCTACTCAGGTAAAGAGAAACACCTATTTGCAGAGTTGAAATATCTGAACTCAAGCAATGATGTTCACATCATGATAACCAATCAGTGTGGAGATACACACTGATTGTATGTATGATGTGTGTCAACAACAGACCAGCAGACATTCATTTATGTGGATAAAGGAGAATTAACTGATAATGACAGTATGATGAGTCATTTACCGAGTGAACATGCTAATTAAGTGAGTCCTTCACGTACATTATTTGCGCTTGATATTCTGAACACAATATCAGAGGTGATTTCAAGCCTTTATAATCTCAATATCAAAATGATCAGTCTTGTTCCTGATGGTCTGTTTGCCTTTAGAGCTCACATAGAGGCAACAGCATTAATTTTACACTGTTAAATTACAGGCTAAAAGTCCCTTTCAGGAGCTTTAACCTGTACAAAGCAGAAACAGACCAATATAGACTTATCATTTTGGGCTAAGGGCAGTTCTGGAGAACTTTGGTTTTTACACATTTGAATGCTGGACAAAGGCTGTCTGAGCAAAGCAAGGCTGCCTTTATCTTGTGTGCTTAGCAAAATGTCTTTTTGTTTTTCATATACAAACATGAGTTATAATTCTTGTTGAGTTGTTATGCCTGAGGACAAATTAGCCCTTTTCTCGAAACCTTACTTATTCTGTGCTTACAGCACATTTCATACAAAAATTATCACTGAATGTAAATCTAACCTGAAAACCTCACTTAGATTTAAGCTCATAGCCTTAATGAAGTTTCCTTTTTTGTATTTCATGTTGCCCTTATGATGCCTTTTATTTTTCTGAAGAGACTTTTAGATTTCATGAACTGTAGCAGGGGAATATGCAAAAACAAAAATGTTAAGGTATGTGAATACCTTGCACTTCAGAAAAAAACCTGAGGGGCATTTAAGTTAAAAGACTGTGTAATACTGGTGTTTTATCTATGGCTTCAAAAATATGCACAAGAAGAAATCATGCAGCCTATGACAAAAAAAAGAGTATTTTTTACAAGCTGTATTTTTATGTTGTTGATTAATAAACACTGATGTATTTATGAATTTCCTTCATTAGATAAAATGTTTATGGGGGTTCTGATGACAAAAAGGAACACTGTTCAAAAAAATGTATAGATTTAGACAACATTTTCATCTGTTTGAGCAGACAGAGTGTTGAAAAGCAATGGTGCTGGGGTTACTACAGTTTCAGTCAAGTGAAGTTTATTTATAAAGCACCTTTAAGAAGACAGCAGTCAGTCAAAGTGATGTTCGTAGGATAAATAAAAGAAGTAAATAAATAGATAACAATAAAACAATTAAATTAAAAACAGTGGAATAAAATACAGACAGTAACATAATAAAAGCTACAGTTTTAGGGAATAAATACTCACTCAGCTCCATTCATCTAAAATCATCCTGATGTCATTTACAACTTTAAGAGGGTCGGTCTCTGTGCTGTGGTATGCCCTTTAGCCTTATTGGAGTTTTTCTAAAATGTTGTTGCTTAGCGAATCCTAACCCAAGAAGTTGATTAAGACCAGATTCTCTAAATTAAAAATAAAACATTGATAAAAATGTTACCTCATAACAGAAATCATGATTATCACATTGTTTTCAATTGTGCTGTGGGATTAGAAAATGTCTGTTGATAAGTGAGGATTAATAAAACAACAAAGATGAGTCTATCATACATTAATAAGGCACCATCTAAAAGATAAAGTTGAGGCGTAATAATCATTTTGTTTTACCATTTGTATCATTTTCCTGCACACTTTAGGAGACTGCTTGTGAAACAAACAAACAAACAAAAAAAAATTTGTATATATTATATACGTCTTAGAGAATTCACTGTACAAAATATATTTCTATGCATATTTGAGTATATGTTTTTGCATACAAGGACTTTAAGTAAATTTTGGAGGCTTAAATTTAAAAAAGGTATAACAAACCAGTAATAACACACTAACCTAAATGAACACACAATTGTGAAAGTCTTGTCATAAGCTATACAACTAAATAAACATTGGAAAAAAAATGAATTTCTTATTTTCCCACCACATCTCTATTGGGATGATGCATCATCATAAACAGAATTTGAAACTGCTTTCCATTAAAGCCATTTCAACTTTATGCTTGCTGGTACCATTTTTCTTACCCCCAACTTTACACCATGTTTCTCTTGCACTATAACTCTCATACTATCTTGATAGTAGGCAACAGGAGTTAAAGTGAATCTGGGGGGGGGGCGTTCTTTGTCCATCTTCAAAGTAATCGTTTTTTAAAAAAAGAAGAATTGTGTCTTTTTTATTCGTGTAAATATTTTCTGTAATATTTTGAAATTAAAAACACGTACTTGATTTTACGCCAAGTTGCGGCACGTTCCCTTTTTTGACGGTCCCTAACATCAGCGGGTCATCTCTTCTCAACTGTGGGTGATATTTTCAAAGCGCTATGAAGCACCTCGTCTCTATCCCTGGTGTGAAATAAACAGACCATTCAGTGCTGCCTATTACCGCACAGTTGTTTTTAAATGGATGGTCAGTATGAATGGTTTAGAGGACAGACCTCAGTGAGCGTGAGTATCATCAACCCGAGGACACTTGGAACAGCTGGTGCTGCGTGCCGGCTGTGTCGCCAGTCAGAGGACCGGACCATCTCAAGCGGAGTGGGGGTAGTCAGATAAGCTGTTTACACCCGGCCAGCAGGCCCACGGTTACAGAGAGGCGAAGAATGGACGGCTTCATCACCGCAGTGAAACATGGCTTTTAGGAAGAGGCATTGCTCGGTACTGCTGGCATCGACATAGACGGACCAGGACTCCCGAAGGTGCGTAGCCTATCTTTGCTTCATGGTGCCGCTCCTTAGCAAGTCTTATTCGAGGTCTGAAATATAACCACTTTGCTCTGGGTTAGTAGTGTTAGCTGGCTTTGTAGCGTAGTGACAAAGCAGCGTTAGCAAAAAAAATAAAAGGTGCATGAATATTAACTGAATTAGCAGTGATATCCTTATATTGAATGTAGATGTAAGTGCTGCGTTTGGGAACCGCGGACATCAGGTCCACCTCTTTATTTGTGCCCATGGATGAGTCTTGCTGCTGTAGCCGGTCTCAGCCTGCTTTGCAGCCTTATTGAGAATAGTGACCTTCATGCCGTCAATATGGACAATAGAGTACAGTCACAGTAGTAGAATAGTCATTTTCTTGTCATCAAATAGACTATTTTAAATCTATTTTCCCAACCAAAACACAGAACAGCACAGATATGTACACTGATTTCTCTGTAGGATGAAGTATGTATAACAGAACAATAAACATGTCAAAGCTTCACACTGACTGTAGTTTGCATGTGCAGTGGTAATGATTCACACCTCGTTTGGAGTAACATGGAGTAACACACAATGCTACACTGCAAAAATAAGCTATGAAAATGATGCATTACAGATACAGATTTGCTAAATTGTCCTGTATGTATAATGCTCTCTTCACACAACTTGTGTGCAGTGCCCTAGTTTCATGGCAGTGTCCTCTTTAAATCCATAACAATCTGATAAGGCTGACCACTCAGACTCTTCCTAACAGGCCAGGAAATGTGGCCTTGTTTAAAATTGGGGAAGGCAGTTAGTACATCTTTCAAGTCCCCAGCATCTCTAAATTCTTTGTGCACTGACCACATTAGGTGGTTTTTGTCAATTACTGAAAGATTTTAGTGGGTACACAAGCTGACAAAATGGAAAACATTGATTACATACTTGATACATAGTAAAAATGGATGAAATGCTCTTAGACCATCTATTCTCCACCAATGGATCACTTTCAAATTTGGAGCATTGTATTAAACTGAAAGGCACATTTCTCTGTCTGGTCAATTCTCTTTGTCCATTTAGAATTCACTGCAGGATGTAAACACTGTTATAACTAGACATAAACTTAATGTTGTAATTTTTTGTTGTAAATCAGTTTATAGCCTTAGTGCAATTTCCTTTATTGTAGACATGATGGTTTAAAATAAGCGAGAATTACAACAACAACAACAAAACATCAGTTCTGAATTCCGTCAGACTCTGTGCTTCTGTCTTAAAATCCCATCTGAGAGCTATGCCAAAGAATAAAGTTTTGACCCGCAACAACTCAGGTTAAACAGGTTGATAATTTAGTAAAATGTCAAGCTAACTCTGTGTGCAAGCTAGAAAACTAGCATCTGATTTTCCTGTTTCTTTGTTAAACATCAGATGTTATCTCCTTTTTAAATTTGTTTGATATGGATAAGCTAATGAGAGTAGCTATTAGCATTGTGACCAAGGTTAGACTTGAGAAAATTTATTGATGAGTTGACTCTAATTCAGGCTACTACTAATGTTAAATATTGCATATACTGCATTGTACCAAATAAGCTTGATACACATTTTCTTTCATGTGCAAAGAGAGCACAGTCAAGGGGAGTTGAATGCCTCACATATGCGCACATGCATATGTGCACATGCTAGCTTAAGCTTTCTCAAACTAGCTGCTACTCTTTTCAACTTCATGTATCAGCACTTCATAACTAAATGAGGTAAAATGATACTGTCTTACAGGAGTTAACAGCCCTGTGAGGAGTTTTGAACCAGTTAAGAAACAGACTGAAGTACACAATGCTGTCTCTTTATGAGCTGCACTGCACTGAGTGTAATACATTTAAGAAGGATATCATTTCCTTGATATCAAAGGACTCTTGTAACAGCCAATTTGATGTATTTTGCTGACTCCTACTTTCTGTTGTAGGGATGTTCACCCTCACAGAGGTAGCCTCTCTGAACGACATCCAACCAACATATCGGATATTGAAACCATGGTGGGATGTCTTCATGGATTATCTCGGCATCGTCATGTTGATGTTGGCCATATTTTCAGGAACAATGCAGCTAACCAAGGACCAAGTAGTTTGTCTTCCTATTCTGGATCAATCTACAGAGGATACTGGGGACATTTTGGCCCCCCAGCCTCCAGAGACAGTTGATAGTTTATGGAACAAAGAAAGTGCCATTGGAGAGCAAGCTGCCCCTTTAATGGCTAAAAAGCCTCCTGATATCATCACACCGACAATTCACTTCACACCGCCGGGTACTTTGGGGGAGCCTCAGCCTACAGGGGTCAGGACCAAACTCGATTTTCAGCAGTATGTGTTTGTAAACCAGATGTGCTACCATGTTGCCCTTCCTTGGTATTCCAAATATTTCCCATACCTCGCTCTAATTCACACAATCGTATTAATGGTCAGCAGCAACTTCTGGTTCAAGTACCCAAAGACGAGTTCTAAAATAGAGCATTTCGTTTCCATACTGGGGAAGTGTTTTGAATCGCCTTGGACTACCAAAGCTCTCTCTGAGACTGCATGTGAGGACTCAGAGGAGAACAAACAAAGAATCGCTGGTGCTTCCTCCCTCCTGAAGCATCTGTCGACAAGCAGCGAGGAGGGGAGTCCAAACCAGTCTGCCCCGATTCTGACCAAATCAGGGGTTACATTTTCTGCTGAGAAACTTGTCAGTGAAATTCCCTCGATGACTATTCTGGATAAAAAAGACGGCGAACAAGCAAAAGCCCTTTTTGAAAAGGTGCGCAAATTCCGTGCCCATGTGGAAGACAGTGACTTGATCTACAGGCTGTATGCCATTCAGACATTCATCAAAACGGTTAAATTCATTCTGATCCTCTGCTACACCATGACTTTTGTTGCCTCTATAGATTTTGACCATGTGTGTGAGCCTGAAATAAAGCATTTGACTGGATACAAAAAATTCCAGTGTACACACAATATGGCATTCATGCTGAAGAAACTGCTTGTTAGTTATATTGCTCTTATATGTTGTTACGGCATCATCTGCATATACACTCTGTTCTGGCTTTTTCGACGGCCACTCAAAGAGTATTCCTTTGAAAAAGTCAGAGAGGAGAGCAGCTTCAGTGACATTCCAGATGTCAAAAATGACTTTGCTTTCCTCCTCCACATGGTTGACCAATACGACCAGCTCTACTCAAAGCGCTTTGGTGTTTTCCTCTCCGAGGTGAGTGAGAACAAACTTCGGGAAATCAGTCTGAACCATGAGTGGACCTTTGAAAAGTTGAGGCAGCATGTGACGCGCAATCCTCAAGACAAGCTGGAACTCCATCTCTTCATGCTCTCTGGAGTGCCAGACGCTGTGTTTGATCTCACAGATTTGGAAATCCTCAAACTAGAGTTAATCCCAGAGGCCAGGATAACAGCTAAAATCTCACAAATGATAAACCTCCAAGAGCTTCACATCTATCACTGTCCTGCCAAAGTTGAACAGACAGCTTTTATCTTTCTTCGTGACTACCTCCGGTGCCTTCATGTCAAGTTCACAGATGTTGGTGAGATTCCAAGCTGGGTTTATATGTTGAAAAGTTTAAGGGAACTGTATCTGGTTGGTAACCTGAACTCTGAAAACAACAAAATGATAGGTCTCGAATCTCTCAGAGACCTCAGGCATTTAAAGATTCTGCATCTGAAGAGTAACCTCACAAAGATCCCGACAAACATAACAGATCTGTCTCCACATTTGATTAAGCTGGTCATCCACAATGATGGTACGAAGCTCCTAGTGCTTAATAGTCTAAAGAAAATCATGAATCTGGCTGAACTGGAGCTCCTGAACTGTGAGCTGGAGCGTATCCCCCACGCCATCTTCAGTTTGACAAACCTTCAAGAACTGGATCTAAAATCCAACAACATTCGCACCATTGAGGAGATCATCAGCTTTCAGCATCTCAAGAGGCTGACATGCCTCAAACTTTGGCACAATAAGATCATCACTATTCCATTATCTATTAGCCATGTCAAAAACCTTGAGTCCCTTTATCTGTCACACAACAAACTCGAGTCACTACCCTCATCCTTATTCACCCTCCTCAAGTTGAGGTATCTTGATGTCAGCCACAACTCAATCTCTGTTGTACCCCTGGAGGTTGGCTTTCTTCAGAACCTCCAACATTTTGCCATCAATGCCAACAAAGTTGAGGTAGTTCCCAAGCAACTGTTCAAGTGCACCAAACTAAGGACCTTATGCCTCAGCCACAATTGTATCTCCTCCATTCCAGAGAAGATTGGCCAACTCACGCAGATCACACATCTGGAGCTGAAGGGAAACTGCCTGGATCGTCTTCCAGCTCAGCTCGGTCAGTGCGGCCTCCTGCGCAGGAGCTGCCTGATCGTGGAGGATCACCTCTTTGACTCGCTCCCCATAGAAGTCAAAGAGAGCATCAATCAGGAATCTAGTGTTTTTCCAAATGGGTGTAAGTGTCTAAGTGATGGGCGGTAGTTAAATATCCAGCAAACACCTTTTAAGTACAGAGAAGTTCTTTTGTAATCTGCTGTACCTGAGGGCACAGTACTTGGATGCTTCATGATGAATAAACATAGCACACCATACCACTGCAGGAGTTTTAGAAGAACGTTAGAAATGATCATGGCTTGTGTCATGTCTATATACCAGATATATATACAATATGAATTAAAAGGAAAACCTGAATGCTTGAATCCCAGTATGGGCAATGTACGAGCTCTGTCATGTAATGTTATGTATTTTTGCTTGTAAGGTTTGGGAATACCTACTTCAGATAAAGCTGCTCTCACTGTTGCCACCAAGGCAAACAGGCAAGCCATTAGGAGTCACTGAATGGTTTGATTTGTATAAATATGAAGTGAATCCTCCATCATAATCCAGTGGAGATTACTGATCGATGTGTTTGCACTCCACTCCCAAATTAGGTACTCTTTTTCTCTCCAGTACAGGTCAGATGTTTCAGCTAACACGGAGGTATATTATTTACAAATGCTAGCCACTTTCTTTTCTTGTCATGCTCAAGGTGGGAAGCTTGAATGCTGTAACATTGTTATGCTTCTGTAATATAAATGTAGAGTCATCTAAAATGTGAACTGTGTGCAACCAGTATACCAGTATAGAGAGCAGGGAGAGGCATTTGTATGTGTTATGGTACTTTGCTCAGAATATTGACACTTTAAGAAGCAAGGTACTGATTAATGCCCAAAGCATGCTGGATACATAGTGAGGCAGACCAGCCTAATGGCGCCTCTAGTTGACACTCATTTTGTCATAATTGTGCATTTACACGAAACTGGTGGTGTATTATTAAGTAAATAAACCTAAATACAGGACAACTAGTGGGGGGGGGCACAAATAGGTCACATTGGGACCATCTATACTTCTATTAACACTGCTTAAGGCCAGCTATTGTGCAGGGGTAGCTAATAGCAAACATGATACTGGAAAGAGCTACACGTCTGTACGGAAACTGCACATTGCTGAACACACGTTTTTTATGCAACAGTTTAAACATTTTTCCCTCATGTGCACTGCTTACACAAAATCAGCAAAGATTTCACTTTGCCCACGGAGGGCACCACAGTCTACACAAACAGCAAGTTCCTAACTTGAACTTTTGGGTTAGACAACACTTTCCATGACTGATTTGCCTCCAGTTAACCACAGCCCAACAAAAACATTGCACATGTTACGTTAGCTTGCAAGTTGGTGCAGTGCGGTTTGCTGGTACAAAACCAAACAGTGTGTTTCCTCTAAAGTCACTTCCTGGCCAGTAAGTTGTATGTCACACTTTCAGTTGTTGGCCTGTAGTTTCATAACAGCATTTGAGCTAACCACCCTGAGGTCACACGTGAAAGGGCTGCGGTTGTCATCAACATGACCTGATGCTTTGTTGGCAGCATGCGGTGGGCCCACTTGCCATTTTGATAAGCCCCCCTTTTTTTTTTTTTTTTTTTGAAAAGTTTCCCATCAGTGTTTGTTTTTTTTCCATGTTTCAGATGATATTGATGCTCAGTAGCAGCTTATTCTCCACCTTTGGTTTGCATAAACATACTGTATAGTAAATTAAGGAAAATTTGTATTAATTTCAAATGAAACCTCTTTTTGAAACTGACATTTATTAGATTCCCTCTAGATTAGAACCAGGTCCTTTTAAAGGACTTAAGTTAAAGGAGGTAGTTCACTCAAATTGTTAATACCAGCGCTAAGGCCAAACTGATCATGATTTTAGGCCTCAGTTTGGGGACTCTGAATGGTGCCTGACACAACAGGATACCCCACAGAAGGGTATTGGTGATCCTGCCATTTTATTACACCTGTATTTCATCAGCAAACTATTTTTAGGGAAATCTGTTTACAATGAATGTGTTGATCATCCAGAGAGACAAGGACCTTGCTTGTGAAAAGATTTAGTTGACTGGAGAGCACCATAAATAATATCCCATTTCCATCCAGTTTACTTAGATGAGGGCAGAAACAATGCACACAGATATGTTCAAAAGTGGAAAAAAACATAAAAGTGACAAATAAGATTTACATCTGGATCTTAAGTCAAGAATGACTCTGTTACTCCTACTACTGCAGTAAAAGCCAATAACACTGCATAAAAATAAACCACTGTGTATGTATGACCTTATATTCACACTAACCTTTCACATTCCAGTTTCAGTATACCTGTGAACAGCAACACTAATGAAGGCTCCCATCTGATCCTTTTGTGCAACCTTTGACAAATCTAAACCATGCCAATATTTTTGCCCAAGAGTAGGCGTTAGTTTTTTTTCTTACTTTTCCTGTGCACACAAATATGTTTTTTTATTCTATTTGTCCTTTTCACGTTTATTGTTGTCAAATGTATATTCCTCATGTAATTTGTGTGCTCTTTGTATGTATTTATTACCTCATTCACATTTTTCCTCACTGCACAGCACTTTGTCAATCCAGTTTGAACATGTGCTAAATGAATAAAGGAACTGCTAATATATTATACACTTTTATTATTACTGTTATTAAAGGACAAAGGAAACCAAAACTGCACTGTGGAGCTGTTTTTGCACCAAAAACACAATCCAATTGTGTAGTTGATGGGTAAAATCATTTGCACCATATGAATTAAGTGTGTGATCAGGCATATTTTTGGCAAATCCCAAACCTGTAAATTGCAAACAAAACCTTTAAGTATGTAATTTTAGATTGCAGAGTTTTATAAAGAGTGGATGCACAAAAAAGGGCCTTCCATTAAGTCATATGTTTTTAATTTCACTGGACAATAACATTGAGGTAGTTAATGATTTTTGCTGATTTTTATTTATTTATTTTGTTTCTCCTGCAGCAGAATTGACCTGTTACTATCATTGTGAAAGTTTGTTTTCAATCAGACATGAAACAAGGTAAGCAGCCTTTGCTTCAACCCTGGATGAGTGCATCTTTATTAAACCAAGCAATAAACAATCCTGCTGCTGTTCCAAACACTTTGAAACACTTCTTTACGGCCAACATATGTAAGCTGTCATTGTGTGCACATGAAAAATACATCACCTTTTCTGACAAAAAAAAGATCTGAATTAATTTAATATCTGCAAATTACAAATGAGATAATTACATTTTCCAGCTATAACTTGCTGATACCAATATGAGCTTATACTGCAAGTCAGGTTTAAATTGGTGAAAGGTTAAAGTTAGATTACCCAAACTTAAATACACTACTGCTCAGGGACTCCATAGTTGTTTTCTTCACCTATCATCTATTGCTCTAGCGTGGTTAAATATCTCAAGACTGCAGAGATTACTCACTATATTTATTAGTGTTTCAAATGTTGGTCCTTCACATGATATTTCAATTAAACACAAGGTACTCCTTCACTGGTGGAAATGAGCGCCTCATGAAAATTTATCACAATAAGCCTTCACCCCAAAATATATACTTGATTAATAATCTTTCTACGTTATGGTTCTTAATGCTCTCATGTCAGAATGTATATCATGTGGGCACCTTTCTTAGCCTCATGACAGAAAATAATTAAATAATTAAATGAAATTCACTTCAGCAGTATGTGATCTGGAGATGAAGACGGTCCTTTTCAGCTAAAAACATTTTTTTGACAGTGCTGCTCTCTAGTGGTACAACATTGTTAGTACAATTTAGGATGAGAGCTGTTTTTGCTGCCTCTGCTTTCACATTGCACAGGACCAAACATTGAGTTTGGGGGCCTACCCTGTATATTTTTACAGATACTAGGCAGTAAATACTTCTACAGCACTAGAAAGTAACTAACCTATGGCAATAGATTTCAGCCTACCTTGTGATTTGCAAATTACCATTAATCTTTCAAAGAAGAGTGATAGATGCAAAATCACTGTTAGAAGTGTTTTACCTAAAAAAGAAAAGTGTCTTTAAACCTGCACTTTTTTCTCAGCATAAATCTTTCAAGAGTTTGATGAAGTGCTCGCTAGGGACTTGTTTTGCATCCATCAGCACTGCAGGGATTAGTGCTGATTGTGAGTAAACTTTCAAAGTCTTTGTTGAATTTCTTAAGTTGTGACTACATTAGAAAACAGTTTTAAACCTGAATGGTTTGTTGTTTTTAAAAATGTCAAATGTTCACTTACATTTATTGACCTATATGTGTTAAAAACAGATAGATACACAGAGATACTACATACGCATATACCAGGTTTCTCAATTGTCATTTGTAGCATTTGTCTGTTTGTCTTTTCCTCTTCATGCTTAAGAAGTGTCTTAAGTGTCTTTTATAACAAAATGCATCCTGCTGACTGTTGACAGTAAAATATATATTGTTCCTAGTAAATAATCTATGTAAAAACCATCTAAAACTGGAAAATGTGCTCAGCTGTTATCCTATCACCTACCCCCTCATATCGGTTTTAGGTTAATATAATGATGATATACAAATGGTCAGTCTTGCCACTTAAGGTCTTGTTTGCTTTTGAGTAACATGAAAGGGCAACAAAATGAATTTCTATTTCATGAATGTGAAAAAAAAACTCTCAAAGGAGCTTGAAGAGACTTAGATTTATTAAACATGGCTGAGCAAAGGTCAATGACTCTTGAGTTGGTGTTCACTTTTTTCCTTACTTTGCTAATCCAGTACAGAACTCTGCAGGACTCAGTATTTGCTAACAGAACTGTCAATCAATCACATTTGGAAAAATAGATAAATTATTGAAATGGAACATCTGAACTTGAGTATTAATCACTATTATAAGAACTAACTATAATGACAGACGCCATGTTCGAGAAAAAATAAAAAAACAATGGCATGAATCATAAGTGTGTAGTTTGACCTATATTCCTCTGTCAACATGAAGGAGGCGGGAATTAAGGCCTATAGCTCAACTGGTCTGTGGGTGGAGCTCTACTTGTTTTGGCTTCACAGTTAGTGAACACTTGTGGCATCCATTATAACATCTAGTTTAAGCTCATTACACTCCCTTATATTAATGAATCAGTGAATGAATGAACTTAACTCGTCAACAATGTGGAAATTTGTCTTAAAAGAAAAATTAAAGTTGTAATTGTATTTTAAAAAATGGAATCAGACTTTATGAAAAAGTAGAAGTTCAAAGCAACAGTTCTCTTGTTCTCAAACTCTTTTGACCTTTAAAGCAGCAGTATGTGGTTTTTGTTATATGTAGCAGAACAAAGTTAAAAGAAATAGTATTAATCGTTTATAAGTATGCATATATTCGAGAATCATTCCCCAAATATAAAAAAAATGTTGAGTTTTTGTTAACCTAGCATGAAGCTTTTATGGCTACATGAGAAGTGGGTCACCTGTTATAAAGGCTTTCATCTTGGAACACCATGTTAGTGTAGTGCAGAAAGGAAAACAGATATGTCTTTGTATTTAGTGTGAGTGGGCACTAAAAATGCACCCATTTCCACACACTGTCTCTTCAGTGCCTTCTTTGAGCTACATTTCAGCTACATGTTATGACCATGTGAGCTTACACATACTTACGAATTTGGTAGAGGTCTTTTGTGACTGAAATCTTGTTCAAGTGAGTTATTGATCTCTTTCAAATCTTGATTTTGTCTGGAATTCAGTTAAATTCAAATAATTTTTATGGCCCACACATTTCTTTTAACCAGATTTTCCGGTCAGGCTATTTCAGCATACCACGTCATCATTGGTCCACAGTATATTCTGCTCAGCATTCACAAATCAAAACAAACCCACCCTGAATTACACACAAAGCGTACATCATCAGAGCAGACTCGATTGTGACGATTGTGCCATTTGGCTCCCCGGCTGGAGGCTGGGAGGAACAAACACATGCCGTGATAGCTCCGGCTGAGCAGCACAGAGAGGATGCCTGACCTTAAGCCGGCCTGACACTGGGGTTGTTAGAAGTCTGCCATCAGGTGGACCCAGAAAACACACCGCCTACAGTCCAGCCTTCATTACTTCCTTGGAATCAAGCGATGGCCTTAGCACTCGTCACAAACACTTAGCGTGCACTATTCCCCTCACAGGACTGCACTGCCAGCCAAATTTGGACCCAGTGGTCATCGGAGAAGCAGTGGTCATGAGGCCGCGCTGCATCCTCGGGACAGAGCAAACATGATGTCAATTTAAAAAGGTTGACTGGCTCCTCAATCTGTGCATCTCCTCTTTTTACAGAGCATGCAGTTTGACACATCAGCTGAGGAGACAGGTTATTGCTTTAACGACCTGCTGTGCATTCTGGGTTTGTGGTTTGATGTGCGCTACATGCACCGTCCTTGGCAGACAACATATTCGTAATAAATGCAGGTGTTTACGTAGCATAATAAGCACTTGTGTGTATCAGTGTAATACTGTGAAGGCATTCATTTGAATTCATTCTGCTCAGTTGTGGATAATTTATTTTCTTCCTGGTATTTCTGGTGATGAGACATTTATTTGGTGTAAGTGTGTCTGTGCTGGGAATTTCCGTATCCGTATGTGGCCTGTTACTCCTCTGATGCCCCCGAGGAAAGCGGCAGATCTTCAGCGACAGCACTTTGTGAGCACTTGCACAGCTGATGAGCTGTAATTAGGTTTTAATTATTTCTGTAGGGCATCATTCTCTCCCGACATGCCCCCCTCCCCCCTTCCTCCCATGCTTGCAAATGAAGACATTGGGTATTTTGAAAACATTTGGTGATGAAACACTCGTCGGAGAAGCCCACTAATTACTGCACAGCCTCGTGTCAGCGCCCATAGACTGCCGCTTTGATGTCTGCTGCCCAGGATGATAATCAAGGGCACAGATCGCATGTGATTGGCTGTAATTGGGACAAGTTGTTTAAAAAAAGGGCACCACATGACTTTGACGGCTGCTCCGAGACACTAACCCCACCCCACCCTGTCCTGTGCCCACGGGTGAGGAAGCCTTGTCACTTATTAAGGAGGCTGTTGCCATGAAGTGACAGATGTCCCGATGTGATCTGTCTGCATCTTTGGCCTCCATCTGTCTTGTTAGTACAAATAGTTACGGATGGTGTGAGGAGAGAGAGAGCTGTTGTTCTTTCATATATGTTAAACGCATTGGAAGCTCTTGTTTCTGGGATCTGAAACCGGTTCCCTTGGCAATCCTTCCATAACAATCTCTCAGCTCCTCTGTTTCAAGGTTTCTCTTCTCTCTCCTCCACCACTTCTGCAGGCCCTGATGTTTCGGGTTCAGTGCCACTGAACCATATCTGAATCTCCATTTTTTGCTCTGCTTTGCTCCCTGCTTGGCAAGAGAAAGATTAGGGGCTCGGGTCCTGAGGTGCGTCTCCCACCCTCTCTCTGGTCCTCACACCCTCCCTCTCTTCACCCATCCTCAGAGATTCAAATCCTTTTAGCTTCTTCCTCAGGTAAAATTGCCAAGGACCTTGTGAGCCCTAGGTTCCCCTGGAGGTAAAATCTATAATGGAGTTTTGATTTGGGCAAGAACAGCCTTGAAAATGGACTTCTTTAACCAGGTAGCTGCCTCGCAGAAGGTCAACAGTACTCCGGGTGGACACAACATGCCACAACTGTGTTAGAAAAAGGCAGAACAAAGGAACAGTTTTATTCCAAAAGAAAGTGACCTGTAGACACTGTGGTAAATAAAAAATCGCACTGATGCATTGCTTTTTTAAATTTCTCAAACTGAATTATTCAGCAACACTTATAATAACAGCAGCAGGTGGACTCTGAGGGCAAAAAAATCCTTGTTCACCCTCACATCCAGCATCCATTTCTGCCAATTTGTCATGTTGAAATGACTAAATTTGTCTGCTAATCTCTCCAAATAAATGTTATTAAGAAGAAACAGTTGATGGCTTCACATTGGCTTTTTTTTTTTTTTGCCACCCTGACTCAAAGATAGAGGGCACCAAAGCCCCAAGAATACCAAAGACAAGCAGCACAGAGGACCCGGAGTGCTTTGTGTATTTAGTGTTAAGTGTTCC